TCTTGAGCCTTCTGCGTTTAGAGAGAGAGGGTATGGCTTCTCTCTAGCCTTTCTCCTTCTTCCGCTCCTCTCTTCACCTCCTTCGTGTGTGTGTGTGTGCTCTGTTAGCTCTAGGGAGAGGTTTGAGAGGGTAGAGGGGTTTGGGGTTTGGGTTTGGGTTCTGGTACCTTGGTGGTGGTTCTCGGTCCGGTAGGTCCTTTGTGGTGGTTGTGAGTTGTTTTAGAACCCTCGGGTTTGTGTGGTTGGAGACCTGAGCTGGAAGATCTATCAGCCTTACAACTCATTTACCAATTACCATAAACAAGTCAAAATTCTTTTCTTAAAATGTTCATTTAATATTTCTCTTCAAAATCGTGTGATGTAGAAATATTTACTTAGCAAATTCAAATGTACTACGGTCAACTATGAAAAAGGTAGCAAGATATTTATGCAGCACATATAATGATCCTTTCCATAGACTATCAGCCTATATAGATCCACTCATTAATGTGAGTGATAAATCATGCATGGAAGAAGATGTAAGTTGTGTCACATTTATGTGTGATGACATAATAATTTTGGCACGTAATCAAGGTATTGTTACATAAGCACATATCAAATATTTTATTCAATTATTCACATAGAGCATAACGTAAATATACTCCTTCAGTACCTGATAGAACTGAGATCAGTTCTATCCACTCTTCCACCTGCATGGTTAGTCATGAATAAAACATTGACGACAGTTTGGACCTAAGAATCGTTCCATCTTGTATTCCTGCAGGGTTAGTCATCAACAAAACAATGTACTAAACACATTTTGACACCCAACTCTATATAAAAGCAAGTGGATTTCCAGAATATATTCCTGCCCAAATTTGTGGGTCAATTGCGGGTTGAGCATTGCAAAACGGGCATGGCTACTGCCCTCATGTAAATCGTACATACAGTTCACTGAATGCTCAACTACCCTTGAAGCCTTGCTGATCAGTAATCAAATAAATGAAGATTCCTCTTGACGATTTGCTTTTAAAATGGGTTGGTATGTATATGCATATATTTAGACTTAAGTATAGAGAGAATTCCTTTGGAGTAAAAAGTTTTGAAATTCAAAAATAGGACTATCATGTTTTTTATTCCCTAAATAGGAGTACATTTCTGCCAACTGTGGCATTACTAAGCTTTAAACATGTCATTTTCTTTCAAACTTGGCAGATTACTCCTCTTCAGGGAATCAAAAACATGATACTCCTATTTTGAAATTTCATAACGTTTTTGCTCATATTTAGGTCAATTTCTATTAAGTATACGAGTATTATTTTGTATTTATTTATATTCGTAAACTCTGGTGATTTGTAAATATTCACATAAATGCAGATCATTAATACTCATCATTCTGATGAAAACCTTGAATGGTTTTGATATGCAGCGACGGAGGAAGACTTAATACTTCAATCACGCGATGACTTGTATTTCACTTCTATATACGGAGTACAAATTTTCAAACTTTATAAATGCACATTTATAATTAGTATATACTATCTCCTTACTTTGTCAACTTTTCTTTTTTAATTGTTCCAAAAAATTTTGCCACTTTTCTAATAAATCAACTAATTTGTGCTTCCACTCATTTTTCTCTCCTCTACACAAACATCAACCACACAATTTTTACTATTGTTATTTCTCACCTACTTTGCACTTGTCAAAGTTCACCGGGACGGAGGTATTATAAATTACGTAGTACATCCCATGCAACACACGGGCGAGATACTAGTGTAAAACAAAATACATCGCCTTACTAAATAACAAGCTCCCTCCATATTGAATTATTTATTAAACTTTCTTTTTGCGATTTATTTTAATTTCGTATATACTTGCCCATTTTGGTAATCATCCTGTTTTAAAATACTCAATTACACTTATTTTTTTAGTTTTTTTATCTTCTCTTTCACACTTTTCCAGTATCTTTTCTATTTCTTCTACATACAATAAGTATTACACTTACTACTTTTCCTTAAATATTATCTCAAACTCTATTGTAGCAAACATTTCAATTGTAAAACATTTTAAATGATATGATACAAAATGTTTAAAATAACGGGCTTGACCCAAGTATTTATGGTTCTGGTCCGGTCTTAGGTACTCGGGAAGTCCGGTCTCCAGTCCCAGACCTAGACCCAGACAAGGTATTATTTACAATTTTTTATATATAGAGAAAATAATCAAATAGATCCTTCTAATACTTTTAATCCAAGCCTTTCTATCTAGAAAAACATCATATAAGTACACTTACTTTTAAATACAATCGGGCCATCCATTTTGACTTCCTATAGTAGGCTATTTTTTAAAAAATAGGAGTATTGATAGATTTTATAAAAATCCATATGAATTTGAATAACAATGTAATAATAATATAAAAAATAGCATAAATGTAAAAATAGATAAACAAAATAAGAAAATTAAAAATAATTACAATCAAAAATAAGAAAACTAAAAAAATATAGTGAAAATGAAAAAATAGAAAATATAAATGTAAAAACCTTTTAAATGTATATAGAACATAAAAACAATTTCAAAAATATTAACTTTGACATTCTAAATTTTTTCACAACTTTTATGTATATTTCTTCAAATTTTTAGCATTTTTTAGAATTTCTTAATATAAAAAATCTACTTGTTGAGGTTTATTCCATCAACCCGTAGGCCCAACACACGACCCAAGGATTTCGAATGGAAGAATTAGAGAAGTAGATGAAGGAAACAAGCAAGAAAAGCCAAGTACGAAGTCTTAATACGATAAACTCGGTACAAGGCATGAGGCCGTTCGTTCCCTCGCTATGCTATGAGTTGCTACAATGCTATACTATTAGGGTGCTTAGTTGCCAACTCTTTATAATGAAATAAATGCTACTATTTATACCACCAATTGGTATTTGGATAAACTGATGTGGCGAGCTGTGGATGGCTGGGATCTCAACCACCAAATCTCTGCATTAAATGCACTTCCCGCCAGAATCTTCTACATTTAATGTGTTTCCTGCCAAGATCTTGGCTTCCCGCCAAGGGGTGGGGACGTTCGTCCCCATGAGATTGCCTCTTGTTCCCTGTTGGGACCTTGGCTTCCCGCCAAGGGGTGGGGACGTTCGTCCCCATGAGCTTGACTCGTGTTCCTTGCTGGGACCTTGGTTTCCTGCCAAGGGTGGGGACGTTCGTCCCCTCGAGCTTGCTTCTTGCTTTCGGCCTGGGTCTGAAGTCCTGCAGACGAGTGTCTTGTGCTGCTCCTGGGCCAAGGTGTCTGCCCACGCTAGGATACGTACGTCCCCTCGGCCTTGATGTTGAAGCCCTTTGGGGGATGAACCTCACCAGAATAAGCGGAAGGGTAACCCGTTGTCTTGGGCCTTCCAGGGACGTTCGTAAGGTTCGCCTAAGGGTTTATGGGCCAGCCTGCGTTGGACCATTAACCCAACACTACTGTTACCGATCAAAATGGCCAAATTGATCAAGTCTCTAAAGCAAGTGTAATTATATGATATTTTTTTTGCAGTGCAAAAGCTTAAGTGATGGTTTGCAAATAGTAGAATGTATTATTCGACAGTTTTTCCTAATATATACGGAGTACTACAATATTTATACATTAAAACTTGAAACATAAGTTTATTGCGAAAACTAAATTGAAGTGTACAAAATGATTTGTGTTTTAAACAAGTAATTGCTAAAACAATATATAGACAAAATACAAATGAAAATAGGGAAAAATAATTTAAATACCCCAAACTTTGAAGAAGTGTGAGATAAATATCTCAAACTTACATATGTAATATATACCCTGAACTTTACATAAAATGTTATGTTAGCACCATTAATATGTATTTTTTATTCAAAAATATAAACTTATGGTGTTAAGCACATGATTTAAAATACGTAAACATTTATATAGGTGTAGGTAAAGCGTCATTAATTTACATTGTGAAAGAAAAAAACATATGTTCATGGTACTTATATTACTTTTTATATAAAGTTCGGGGTATAAATATTACATATAAAAGTTTGGGGTGCTTACATCACACCTATTCAAAGTTTGGAGTATTTAAATTATTTTCCCCATGAAAATATAATCCAAACAATATTTATAAATTTCAGACTCATACGCTTAGGGATGGATTGGGCCGGGCCGGCCCGTTCCGGGCTTTTAGCACGTTTTGGTGGGTCAGGTGGGCCGGGCTCGGGCCCCATTTTTGTTGAACCGGCCCGAGCAGTTCAGGCCGGGCCCGGGCTTTTTTTTTTCATTTTTTTTTCTTTTCCTAGGGTAGGGCTGGGTGTTTTGGGGAGGTTTGGGGGGTGGGGTGAGGCGAGGGGGTCGGGGGATAACAAGAAAGCCAAAAAAATAAAAAATTAAACATTGAACCGGGCCCAACCAGGCCCGGCCCGGACCCGGTATCAACCCAGGCCGGTTAAGGTCCCAAGTACGGTTTTGGGAACTTGGGAAAAAAGCCCGCCCGGGCCCGGCCCGGAACCGGACCGGCCCGACTCTATCCCTACATACGCTTCCTTGATAACTATAGCTTCCTTGATCAGTTGTCATTTACCCCATGAAATGACGACTAAGTGGAATTTTTAGTTTTTGAGTTTGTTCGCGACTCCGCGTGCCTTCAAATATTCATGCAAGCAAACGAACGTTTCAAGAGATTACACGCTAAAAAATGATGGGATCGAAACTAGGACCGCCAGATTCAATCCCAAAACCTTAACCCTTAACCAAGTACCCCATATACCCGATCGAGTACCAGGCTTATACCAAGACCAAAATAATGAACCCGAATTTCTTTAATACTTCCTCCATTCTTAAATAAATGAAACGATCAACATTTCACACTTGTCGAGACACAACTTTGACCATTAATATAAATGATTTTGTATTAGTAAAAAAATTAAAAAAAATTAAATTATGAAAATTTACAATGAGACAAGTTTAACAATATTTTTTTATAAAATAATATTATTACATTAATAAATAAAACGTAGTCAAAGTAGAACATGTGAATAGTGTAAAAGTCAAAGTGTTGCATTTATTTAAGAACGGAGGTAGTATGAAGTACGTGATAACTTGCAGTGGAGTAATAAGCGAATTCACAAATAAGTGAAATAACAATTGAATATAAAAATAAATCGATGCCATATAAGAGAACAAACTTTAGGTACCCAAAAAGTCTAAAAAATCCTGCCCGAACAAAAATGGTTCGAGGCCAATATGCAATAGTTCCATCACCATCCACAAATGTCCTACTTGTATGAGCTTAAGCCTCATTACAGTCCCAAGACGTATTTGATCAAGCCAAACATCAACTTATCAGTCCTCTTTCCAAGTGAATCCGCATCCTATACATTTGTAAAACCGTGTTGCAGGCTCATCTGCAGACCTTGTCTGCATCTCCACAAAAGCTGCTTCATCGAATCCACAAGTAGGGCATCTTTCTGCGTGTGTGTATATAACAAACAAATTTGACACATCCCAAGTTAGTACACAGTATCTTCATCTCTCCCACAATGAAGAGTTTTTTTTTTACTATTAATGTTTTTAGCATTAAAATTAGTTTTTTTACTATTAATGTTTTGACTCTTTCTTAGACAGAAGTTGAACTGTCATTGTCATTTGTTTTTTTTTTTGCAAGGAAGTGAAAAAAACTGCTACGGGTCTTTTTGAAACTTGAAAAATGGCAGGGAAAGAAATAGAGAGATTATAGAAGAAATTTGGAAGAAAAGATCATGTTGAGGAAAATTGAACACCCGTTGAAATTCAACAACTTTATGTTTATTATTCGTTCAAGCTAATTTAAAGTCTATTTCTACAATCTAATAAAAATTGTGTGAGTATTAAAAATGATTTACGAAATGCCAACAAATATTTTATTCACTCAAACTTTTGTTCCTCCCTATTTTCTTTCCCAAGCATTCTCCCGGTTGAAAATGAGCCCCAAGCCCCCAAGCAAGATATCAGTTACATTATCACAAAGTACAAATGTCAATTGCATCTTTGACATTTTCGTGCTCCTAGTCCTCCCAGCATAGAACAAGTTACTAAAGACATTTGATCTATGAGAATTAAAGGATATGCAGTCAATAATAAAATAGAATATGAGCAAGATTTTCAAATTCACCATCAGTAGAAAAACTCAATCCTGACTGATTAGACCAAAGACTCCTGAAAAAACTTGCATGGAGGTGATATCTTCAAACCAACAAGTTATTCTGAAACATATTTTTACTTATCTTGCTGAAACAGATTAGTATTTTACCCTTTAAAAACCAGATAACCCTTACCAGTCAGGCTCTAAAACTGTGTCAAATAACAAACAAACAAACAAACAAACAAATAAATGATAAGAAAAGAAAAATTCCCTTAAAACCTTTAGTTTTTTGGGCTGTAGCTAGTGAGTCAACTGAAAGCACTGGATCAAGCTTCTTCCGAACTAGATGTTGTCTTCTCTTGATTTTGATCTGAAAAGAAAAGAAAAATAAATTCAACATTAATTAAACACAAAAAGTAATGCCAGTATCAAAAGAGAAGTTTTTCTTAAGGTACCGCACCCTGGGTCCAATGGCACACATATAGGGGCAAGTAGGGCAGCGGAAACCAGCAGGACGGTCTATATCCGGCAAGCCAAATTGCAATAAATTCGAACATGTTGGGCAAAACTCCATTATATTGCTTTTTGCTATCCAATGTAACTGAATTCAACCATTAACACATCTGAGTGGTATTCTTCATTTGATTTACGAACATGCAAACATAATCAAATTCACTAAAAAATCAAAGTAAGTATATAGCTTCAGTATTTTTGGGAAAGGTGTTAAACTGTAAAATATATATTTTTCTTGTTTGGGAAAGTTAAAAATGGGAGAACTTATCTAAACGTAACTCAGAAAAAGTAATAAACATATGTGTAGATTTTCTAAAGATGCCATAATAACTGAATGTTCATCGAAATCTTTGAATTATGACAATGTTTTAATCATCAAATGTTGATGTATGCTCCCTCACAACAAATCATGCCTCCAGGTATTTCCTTTGCTTTCGTACCATGGCAATGTGTATAGAGTATAACAGTCGATTAAAATAAGTTCAATTACTTCTTCTTCAATAGGTTTAAAGTAAATCTTAAAACCAATTTTATTAGCTTCTTCAACTCTAGTACATGTTTTGAATTTAGATACACAAAGGCTTCAAAATTTGGAGTTTCTTTTCGTTAAATAAGCCTATAGTAATAGTTATAATGAACTCTTGTGTTTACATCCTAATAGCAATGTCGCACTCCATCAAATCAATTGACTCAAGAAAAAACAAACAAAATGTGATATGTACAGTTCACCTTAGCCTATGCACACTGTGTTACAAAAATAAGTAAAAAAGCAGTGTCGGAACCAGAACTCGTGAGTTACAGGGACACAATAACAAAGAAATCACATACATCACGAATATAGGAATAAACAAAACTATAAAGTTTAAATAAAACAACTAATTAAAACAGTGTAACATAGAGATTGTTGGTCAAACAGCCTAGACCAACTACAATTGTATAATTTTATACTCCGTAATATAAAATTAACAACGTTAACTAAATCAACAAATCCACAATTATAAATTTACAATATAATTAACATTTTTAATGAGACTATCAGAACATAATCGCCAAAAAATTCAACAGTGTATTTGAATTCAACAAATAAAAGTATTCAACAATTCAACAATTAACATTTTATTTGAATTCAACAAATAAACAATTTTAAATGAAATTATCAGAAAAACAATTAGGTTAAGGCATTAAGCGGCTTACCCGGAGTCTATAGATGGGAGCACCGTCGCACCGGCCACCACAGATTAAGCCGGAAATCAGAAGAAGGGCCGAACTGCCGAAGGGGTGGTCCGTGGTCTCCGTCTCGTCCGTCGTCCGGCCTCCGTCACTCCTTCAGGAGTCAGCCCTTCGTCCGGTCGTCGTCCGTGTTCACTCGCTGACTCCCACCAGCGGCAACGCTCCTCCAGTCCTCCGTCGCTGAGATGCTCGTTGAAGCTTGTACGCAGTAACGCAGCCGACTCACGCACGCAGTAACTTCAGTTGGGGAGTTGGGCTGCGAGCTGCTGGTTTGATGGGCCGGCTTATCCGTACAAGGGAAGGGCTAAGGGAAAGGGTTTTGGGGATTGGGCTGCAGGGGCTCAACATAATAAATACGGTAATCTATGAAGCACGGATACTTCACTAGGTACCGTATCGGATACGGTAGGATAATCGTATCGTATGTTTCCGGGTCATATTTGTAACTTTTAAAAGTTTTTAACTTTTTTGGCAATTATTTAAAATTTCGGATACTCGTATCCTGACGGATACACGTTTCAACTTTTTTATGAGAAACATCAAAAATTTACATAATTAAATTTTTAAAAAATAAAAAACTAAAAATAAATTTTACATTATCCAAAATGCTTCAGTGCAAAATTTGTATTAATACTTTTAGTTTTATATTAGAGTATTATTTTATATCTCATTTATCCAAGAACTTTGAATACTTGCACTTTTAAATTTAAAATTGTGATTGTTTGACTTGTTTCTCGTTTTAAATTTATGACTTATTGACTATGTTTATATTTCGAGATGCACTGGTGTATATGAGATAAAACGTGAATTTGTTTCCAATAATTTTTATAATGTGAAATGTTTGAATACCATGAATGGGCAGTGGTGAGAGGATAATATATTTATATTTTTTCAAAAAAAAAACTTGTAATTTTTAATATTTACAAGAACACTCCCATAAATTTTAATATATATATATATATATATATATATATATATATATATATATATATATATATAGAATAAGGATCAAATGAGAAGAATGCTTATCGTAAGAAGTGAGAATGCATCTGGTGCGTTCATTTTAAGATCTGTGCATCAGATTAGCAAAAAAGTGCACGAGAAAGTGCAAATATATTAAAAAAGTGATGCTAGACGCGGTGGCATATCCGTAATTAATCGGAACTTTTCTGCCATCGCAAAAAGTGCATCAGATTAGCGAAAAAGTGCATCAGAAAGAAGCAAATGTGAAGCTTCTCACTTCTCACGTTAAGATATCTTCTTATTAGAACCCAACCCTATATATATATATATATATATAAATACACCCCATAACTTTTAATATTTATAAATAGACCCTTGTATCTGTATCCTACTTTTTTGGGGGTTTTCCTTAATATTACTAAACTAGAGCTAATTTCCAAAAAAGTAAGCACATTTACATTTGGAAAAAATGTGACTAATGCACAGTGACATCTTAGTGGTGATGTTTCCGTAGTGACATTTCCGTCATCGTTGGTCATAGTGATATGCCCGTTGTGATATCTCCGTCACCGGTCACTGTCGCCGTTAGCGAAACCTCTGCAGTGACACACCTCTACAGTGACATCACCGCCGCCGTGGATGTCACTGCGATCGTTGGAAATGAAAATTTCAATTAGATTTGGCTGCCACCCTAACAGCACCACCACTGCCACCTCCCCAACCCGTACACCTGCACAATCAGAAACCGCCACCATCAACTGCCGCCCAAACTGTGACCGCACCACCGTAACATTCCGGTAGCCACCGTCGTCACCAGGTCCCAGCCTACCCTCCCCAACCCCAAACCGCCTCCCTTGCCCCCTTCTCTGGTCCCCTCCTTAGCTCCCCTGCCCCTGGCCTTGGTCCAAATCCTGCCCCAGCCCCCCGCAAACCTTCCAGGCGACCAATCCACCCTGTCCCTACACCACCCCCACTAACCCCCTTGTAACGCTAACTGTCGCCAAAGTTATCGGAACTGTCGCCACCAGACCGCCCATGGCTCGAAATTGCCGCCACCGCCAGATCTGTTCCAACCGTCACCCACCGGATCTGCAAAACCTATGATGTCCATTGAAACATGCGTTGTTGTCAACTGCCATACGTCGTCGTCCTTACGCATGAACCTTCCATGCAAAAATTGTGATAAGTAGAAGAAATTTCGATATGTGTTTGCGATGATGGAACGACTGCGGGAGAGGAATGGTTGTGCGAGCAATGGAGAAGTTGGGTTCTATAATGGTGAAACGGTTGGGTGCTAAATTGGTGAAAATTTTGGGTGTTAGACGTCAGTTTTGAAGTTCGTGTGTTTACATCACACCTCTTCAAAATTTGGGGTATTTAAATTACTTTCCCCATAAAAGAATAACACCGCTTACAATAGCAAGTCTATTAGTACTAGAATCACTAACCATGAAGATTTTATTATACAATATTACATCCCTCAATTTGTGCACGAGAAACTATGCACAAATTGAATTTGTACGTAAAACTAAAACTGCTGTGAAGATTAATTCTTAGTAAAAATATCAGCTAGCTGAGTGACTGATTCAGAACATATCTGACAATAAGATCTCCATGAGCAACATGTTCACGAACAAAATGACAGTCAATATTGATGTGTTTATTGTAAGCATTATGTATCCGATTAACGAATATGTGTAAGAAACAAAAATATTATCTCATATCAATTTGATTAGAGAACGTACAAGAATGTCATGTTCAGAAAAGACTGATCTAATGTGCAAAGTATCTTGGACATTATAAGCAATGATCTAAATTTTTGCTTCAGTAGATGAACGAGAAACAATTGGTTGTGTTTCTTGGAGCACCAAGATACTAAATTGGGACTCAAAAAGATAGCATAGGCACTAGTAGAACGACTCCTATCTGGACAATCACCTAAATCAACATCTGAATAAGAAAAGATCAAAATATAAGGTTCATAGTAAGTAGTTGAAAATGTGTTTAACTGCGCAAGCATGTGAGGTGTGTGGAAGTAGCAAACACATGAGTCGTGTAATTACTATGATGAATTCGAATATATGACAGCCTATGTTCATGATCAATTAGTTTGATTTGGAAATCATCAAACGTGAGATCTCCGGATACTAGACTCATAGCATTGACTAATGATTCACATTCAAATGTCATACCAAGAACGATATATTGAAGAAGATCATTATTCAATTTGAGAGCCAATTCTAAGTCTCATACAAAGGATTTATGTATGCAAAATATTCTATGCTAATATATATCAATTACAACACTTCCCAAAAGTATTGTTGTGGACTGAAGGTGTTTCCACAATCTCTCTTACCTCTCTCTCCCACACAAAAGGAATTTAATTTCACTACCAAGTTCAAGTCCAATATATCCGAAACGGGTATTGTATTGCTTCAAAAAGCCAATCTCATTCTAGTTTTAAAAAACAATCAATTCAAGTCCGGTTTTGGAACCGTATCCACCCCTCAACAGGAGTAGCCTTAAAGGGGTAAAAGTCATTTAGAGATTTTATAGGGAATGGAAATCCTTGTTGTCACCAAAAGCATTTTAAAACTATTAAAACCGGTGAATTTATCAATCGAAAAAGAGCAACTCCAAATCTCCAAAGCATGAGGGTTCGTCATAATGTTAAACTCAAACCTCACAATTTATTTGAAATATCAGTCACTATATTTATTTTAATTACATAAATTTATCATGAAGTACAATTGTAACTTAACTTTAGTAAATTATTCACTTCCTAGTTTTTATTTTATTACTGTATAAATAACATGTTCCAAGGCATTGGCTATCATCATCATGATGACATTGTGCATAGAAAAGGTTATTTACAACATTTTTGATGAAACAATAGTGTGAGTTAAAATCTCAATGAAATTATTGAAAGACAATCCCATGAGTAATGATGAATAATAAATATAGGTTTAAGAATGTGATTAGATATAAAAATATACAACGATAAGATGCAAATTTTAATTTTGATATTAAATTATACGGAGTAATAGAGAGACTACAGATAATGAAGATTAGAAAATTGAAGATTTCTGAAACATTGGGGGAAAACTGGAAAAGGAGAGATATTTATAGGAAAAAATAATCTTCCCTCCCACCAGCTCCTCCAACCGTCCCAAGAGCTGTTTGATGAGCCTCATCAAACAATTTTTGGGACTGTTGGGGCCAGATTACTAGCCATTAGTGACCAGACCGTGAAGCAACCCCATTTGTCCGTCCAACACTAGAACCTGTATAACTAATCCCAATTCCCAATCCAATACCAACTCACAAAAATCAGCATGTCTCGATTGAGACTGAACCTATGATCACACCTTGTCCATCCCTAACTATAGCAACAACAACTCTCTCTCAAGAGCACATGTTGGTCAAGAAGACATGAAGACGTTGCAAAGGCTTAGGTTATCAATAGGGTTGAGCACAAATCTAGAATTTCCCATTTTGTATCGAGAATCGTCCCAAAGTGTACCAGAACCAAACAAACCGGGAAAATATAATATCATATCGTACCAATTTTTTTTAATAATATCATATGGTATCGATTCTTAAGTAAGAACCACTATAGAACCATACCGAAATCATATAGAACCGAACCGTCCCGTCCTAAAAAATGGTTATACAAAACAATATATACTGCATATATATTATACTATTTATTAGATTAGCCTATACTCTTCATTGTGGTTACTCAAAACTAGGGATGGACTCGGGTCCAGGCCGGGTCCGGGTCCGGGTCGGGCCTAGGCCCGGGCGGGCCGGCGGTTCAGAAATGGTGGACCCGGGACCGGCCCGAGTAACCATCGGGTCCGGTCCGGGTTCGGGCCGGGCCCATTATTTTTATTTTTTTTTCCTCTTCCTAATTAACCCCCTCCCACCCCCAACCCCCCAAACCACCCCAAATGGCCCAAAAAAACCAGCCCAACCCAAAAATTTAAAAAAAATTAAAAAAAAAAAAAGTTTTTGGCCCGAACCGGGCCCGAGCCCGGCCGGGTCGGGCCTTGTTTTGGGTGACCCGAGCCCGGACCGGAAAACCCACGGGCCGGACCTACCCGGACCGGTCACTGACCGGGCCACCAGGTCGGGCCGGGCCGGAACAATACCGGTCCCGGGCCGGTTCCGGGTCGGGCCACCCGGTCCGAGTCCAACCATACTCAAAACTTTGGTATAGAGCGTATAATGCACTCTTTGAACTAGGGGTGAACTGGGACAGTCCAACCTGACACGGAGCCCGCCCCACCCTGACACTGTGCTGGCTCAATGAATCAGGACCATGACCAGGACTGGGGCCCAAACCGGGATCTTCAATGGGCGGGCTACGAACTACGAAAAATGTGAACCAACCCGAGTTCCGGGCCCAATTACTTTTTTTGTTAATTTTTCTCATTGGGCTGGCCTCTAGGTCGGTTGGACTAAGAAGTTTGGGGGGTTTGGGGTTTGGGGGCTGGAATTAATCCCGAAAGATTAAAAAAAAATCAAGCCCGACACGGCCTGGTCTCGATTCAAACCCAAGCCAGTACCAGACCTAAATATTTAGGACCTGAAGCCCAACGCAACCACCCTTTGGGCCCTTAATACAATTATCTAGCGTACTAAATTTTATAAAATACAAGTAAGAACTATGACATTGAAATGTAAATCTAGTTTAGTTTCTTTGTTAACGTAATCCAGAAGTAGGCATGGACCGAGCTCAACTGCTCAAGGCCAAGCCTAAGCGAGCTTTTTTTCCAAATAGTAGGGCCCAGAACCAGCTCGGGTAGTCGGGTAAAAACCGGATCTAGGTCGGTTCTATGTTTTTTTTTGCTTTCTAATTAATCCCCGACCCTTCACCCTCCTAACCAAGAAAAACAAAAAAAATTGAAAAAATAAAATAAAAAAGCCCAAGCCCGACCCCGGCCTACCGCACCAATTCAAGAAAAACATGGCCAGAGCCCAGCCCACCCAACCGGGCCAGGTTAGCACCAACCTGGCCGGTCCAGGCCCACACAGTAGCGGGCCAGGCCAGTTCTGGGCCGTCCCAAATCAGTTGGGTCCACCCCTATCCAGAAGATCAGAACTATAGTTTTTTTAATATAAGTTTTGTATTTCAATTAGGTTTGATTGCACAATGCTAGTCTAATGTAGACTTTTCAATCCTGCAATCTCCTCTTAATTTTTTGTATAGTTACTAATAAATGCTAAAACCTAAAATAAAATCATAAAAGTTAATTATTTAACAATCAAATAGTAATAGAGAACCGCACCAAAGACCAAAGTGACCAAACCATACTGAAAATTGGTATGAAAGAGGACATGATCTATATATATTCAAGACTATCAGTTCTTTGATTTTTAAAAGAACGGTCCTTTAGGCCAAAGATGAGAAATAGTGTTAGGCATTTTAAACCTTTCAAATATTTTTGATTAGGGATGGATTCGGGCCGGGTCGGGCCCGGGCCGGGCCTAGGCCGGGTCGGGCCCGATCGGGCCGCCGGTTCAAGAATAGTGGGCCCGGGACCGGCCCGGGCCGGTTAAATATTTTTTTTAATTTATATTTTATACTTTATAGTTTTATACAAGTATTAAAAAACAAACTTCAAGTGCATTTATTTAAAATGAAATAGGAACTACATTTGAAAATTAAATAGGAACTATAATTGTTTTTAATCGGAATCTCCGACATAGGTAGAGCCACCCTCTGTTGTAGATTCATCCATAAAGTGTTGGGATGGAGTGATGTCAATTTCTTGAGCTCTACGTGCTGCTTTCAACCAATCGTGGTAGCATATAAGCATCTCAAGAGATTCAGCGCTCAACCTCGTTCTGGTTTGTGTTAGAACATTGCCGGCCGAACTAAATTCTTGTTCCACGGCAACCGTTGAAACCGGCATTGATAGCACTTGCTTAGTCATCTTTGCTAAAACCGGGAACATTCTTTCTTTTCCCTTCCACCAATTTAGTACGTCAAAATCATCATCTTCTTCAAAATCAACATCATAAGTTAAATACAAAGAAATCTCATTAATTGTGCTTTGTTGTGTAGCGGGAGTTGATTTTGTTTTTTTAATAAGATTGGCAAACGTAGATTTGAAAATTGATTTTCCTTTAGATGATGTTTGTGTCGGGGGAGGGGGCGCATTGCCATATTGTGCATGAAACTCATTGAATAATGCATAAAATATATCACTAACCTCGTTGTATTCTTTTTTCGAATCAATTGGGTTGTCCTCATACATTAGCAATGGACCAAAAAAAGCAGCATAATAATAATTCATTCTTCTAAAGAACCAAGTCTAAAACGAGGATCGAGAACAAATGCAATACCATAAATATGCGGAATATGTGAATAATATTTTAAAAACTTTTCCTTCATAAAACCAGCAAAATAACTCACATAATCAGCATTCTCAAAATTTGAAAAAGCACCGACGAGATTAACATTTCACGAATAAATTGATTTGAGGTAGGTTTATAAACATGACTAAATGTTTCAGTTGCATTATTAAAATATATCAAAGCATTACAAATTTTTTCACAGGTGTCGATCTCAGCCGAGTTTATAATATAGTTATCATATTATTTCATAAAAGCAGGAAAATGTTGTTTATATCTAAGAACAACTCCAATTAACTTATAGGTACTATTCCAACGAATAGACAAATCTTTTGAAAAAGCCACATATCTCTCACCTCTTTCTATCAAATAATCATGCCATTTTTTCTTAAGTTGTCCATTATCCCAAATATGTCTATTCCCCCCCTTGACTACCTCCAACGATGCTTCCAACGCTTTTAGACCATCTTGCACACATAAATTTAGAACATGACATGCACATCGTTGATGAAAAAATTCCAACTATATTAATAGATATAATAAATATATAAGTAACATATAATTAGATAACAAATATAAGTAATATAATACTATTTATCTCTTTATAGTTTATATAAGTAGATAATTAATATAAACTATAAATAATAAATATAATATATTGGAGAATGGAGAATAAGAGAATTAGAGAGTAGAGAGTTAAGAATAGGATTTAGGAAGAATTGGAGAAGAGATATGAAAAAATGTTTAAGATTAGGAGTATTTTTAGATTTTTTTACCCCCACCCCCCCCCACCCCACCCACCAGCCAACTCCCCCGGACCCCCCCTTTACCCCACCCAACGGCTATATAGCCGTTTGCGTTATCCCCAGCCCCACCCCCAACGGCTAGTAGCCCAAAGGCCCCAAACCAATTTTTTTTTTAAATAAGACCCGGACCCGGGTCCGGGCCCGACCCGGCCAGGTCACAATAATGCAGCACCAAGCCCGCCCCGCCCCTTCCCACCGGTTCGGGTCCATACCCGGTCCCGGACCGCCCGACCGGGTCGGTCCCGGGCCCGCACAGTACCGGGCCAGGCCGGGTCACGGGCCGGGTGGCCCGAACCGAATCCACCCCTATTTTTGATTACTTCTTTGCCCATCATAGAAATTGTTCTTATTTTTATCAATTCAAAAACCGATAGTTGTACTTTTATCGTTTTTTACATCAACCCTTTTTGCACTTGGAATAAGAAAATAAATTTTACTCCGTAATTTAAATTCAAGTGTTCATTTGCACATTGAATGCAGTGCAATATTTGAAGGGTGAGAAGCAACCAAATCACAGACCATCTCAGGCGTGAAGGCCTGAACAAGTGAATTGATACAATATTTACTCATATGTTACAGATATTTATATCACAATTTTGAAGGTCGGACCTTAAGACATCCTCCAAGGTCGGACATTAAGACATCCTCCAACGGCCGATTCATATACCATACACATATATGTATAAATATTGGCATCTCTCCCACAAGTGTAGGTTGCTATGTACTTCCCGCCACCAAACTATTATTAATTTTTAAATTTAAATGAAAACTAGGGATGAGAAAGCAAAATCAGGCCATTGATTCAATGTCACTGTCGTCGCTCGCGTCACTGCACCAAAAATATAACAACAGTTAACCAGGAAGAGCATTTATAAAAGTGGGATTATTATTACATTATTGAATAACATTTTTACACGAAAAAAACAGTATTTAAGAAAGAGGCAAGTATCATGCTCCCTCAGTCCCACAAGGAGCCTGGTCTGGTCAAAGTATAACTTTTTGTTTTTGGTAAGGTACAACTCTTCAAAGTGATGGAATCCCAATTTATTTCTAAAAAATTTATGTTTCGGGTATACCTATGTCATATTGGACTGGTTTGTACAACAAAGAACGTTTGAAGCAGAATAATTTTTTGGACGGATGGCACACATATCTACCTAGTCCTATACAATATTTCGGATAAAAATTATTGATAAAATGGATACTATTATTGAACCTGTGCTCTGAAAGCTTGGAAATCCGCCTAGCATCTAAACCAGTTATAAACTTTTGTGCAGCTTGAACATTGTCTCCACCTGGAAAAGAACATTTTTCACAGACAATTATCGCAATAATTCGAGAAAATGTGAAACGGTCTTTTCCAATTAGCATGGAAGTAAAAACATGAACGGTAAGCAACTGCAATTCATATATAAAGAGCAGGGCAATAATAAGTGCATTTTTATATCTAGATACTTCTATATTTTTTATATTAAAAACAGGTATGGTAAAAATACTACAGTCAAACTTTATACATATGTTAATGACATCCTATTTCTCAAGATGTAGACTATAAACAAGCCAAAACCTTCCCCTCCAAAACCCTAGATCCAAACAAACATTTGAACGAATTCCTTACCTTTATTCAATTGAAAGGCATGCAAGGCACATCTCTCAGCAGCAAGTCTCACTGGAGAACTTCCATCTTTCAAGCAATCAGCTAGTGCAGGACCGTACTTTAATACATGGACCATTAAGGCACTAGGATTACACTGCAATGTACAAGCCATGACTTATTCCCACACAAAAAATAGAATACATAAAACCATTGATACACATAACACAACACAGTTTCAAGGATAAGAACAATCAGAAGTTTTATGTGGTACACGCACTTTTGCAACTATCTTCAGAGCGGACAAGGCTCGTCTTCTGACTTCACTTGAATCATCTTGCATGGCCAATACTATAGATCCGAGAATCTCCGGGTGTGAAGAAGCATTAGAAGAATCACTCACAACTTGATGATATAGGAGTCTTCCAAATGCCCTTGCACATGTTTCACGGATTGGAAACTGTGAAATCAAAGAATTAGAAGAACTCTTGATTTAAAATAAAAAAAGGAATGCACGCTGCACTTACATTTTATCATACAGGAAAGGGAAAAGGTACAAATATATCCTTGTAGTATGAGTGTGAGAACAAATATACCCATGTTCTCTTTTTCGGACAAATATACCCCTCATATTCTTATAAAAGAGCAAATTTACCCTTATTGACTTTAAATTAATAAAATAAATTTCAAAAATACCAAAAATAAATTATAAATTCGAAATGAAAAAATTAAAAATTTTAAAAATGTACTACTGTTCAATTCTTCCTTTTATTGTTTGCATATCAATTTAATATTGTTAGTATAAAATATTATTTCAAAACTTTACCATATAAATGTAAAAAAATTACTATTTTGTATAACATATATATAACCTTTAAAATTTAATATTGTAAATCATTTCTTTACAATCGCAATGTAAAAATTTTGTAAAATTTTTTGCATTCTTTGCACTATAAAAATTACATTTTTGTAAGATGATAAATAGTCCAAGATTACAAAATAGTGAATTTATTTTTATTAAGGTTAAACAAAATCAAAGAATGTAACAATGTGTTCAAAATTTTGCAACAAGACTAAAATTCAAATTAATAAATTTGAAGCGCTTCATTTACAACGGATAAATATTAATTTTGCAATTTAAAATTAAAGAGTTAATAATTTAACATAGTAATAATAAATCTTTATTTTCAAATGTTGAATTTATAATTTATTTTTAGTATTTTTTGAAATTTATTTTATCTATTTAAAGTCAATAAGAGTAAATTTGCTCCTTTATAAGAACATGAAGGGTATTTTTGCACTTTTTAAAAGTTCAGGGATATATATGCACTTCAACATATACTTCAAAAGTTCAGGGGTATATTTGTTCCCAAACTCATACTACAGAGGTAAATTTGTACCTTTTCCCTATAGGAAAATTATCAAAAGATGTAAAGGAAACCCAAATACCTTTTCATCTTTTAAGCTACTTTTGAGACTATCTATTACAGGTCCATATAATGAAGAAGAAGAAATGATGGAAGGGTTGTGCTTTAGGATTGAAGATATCGTAAGTACTGCTCCGTGCCTTGTGCACCAGTTAGGAGACGATGCAGAGTTTGTAGTCCCATTAAGAACCTCAACAACTTCTACATCTTCTAAGTACTGCAGCAACATCAAATGTGATATTAAGACATGTAAGCATACTTGGTAACTACTAATGCACTTTGTAATAGATAGTATATAGAAGCAAAAGAGAAGGATAACTCAGTATATAGCTGAGAGAAAAAAATAAACTTCTATCAGGTAAATTCAGCACCAGGGCCGTCTAATGAATTTGGAGGCCCCGGTTCCAAATGGAAAATTGAGCCCCCTAAAACAACAAAATTACAAATTTGAACAATGAAATACATGTAGACTAGCCAGTTCAATGAAATATAAGTTTTATGATGTTTAAAGTGCACAAATCAGAGAATCTAAAAATTACGTATATACCTTTTGGAATCTTGAATAATACATAATATCTATAAAAATAAACTTATAACTAACATTACATTCTAAATTTTTGAAGGCCCCGCCCCATACACGAGTGGGCCCCGATGTCAAGCACCTATTGCATCTCCTAAAAGACAGCCCTGTTCAGCACCTAGTACAAATATTCTAAAATGGCTGAAGAGCTCAAAATATTATATGATGTCCTCCCAAGCATATAAAAAAGCATGCAGTCTATATTCAAAAAAATATTGGAAGGGAGCAGGTTTTAAGATATAGTAAATGAGTAAATCAAATTCCCCAAAAACATCATAGATTACTACACATCACAAACATGTATCCATTTGTTAGCCTCTAGAATAAAACACACCTTGTTGGCTAGTTAGTACGCACACTTGCGCTAAAATAACGTGTGAAAACAAATAACCACACAGAAACAAAAGAGAAACAATATTCAGGAATTTAATTTTAAACACCAAAATTGCTTTTTTTTTGGGAAAAATGTCAAATAAGCCCTTCTACTATTTTCAATCCATCGCTTAAGCCCTTATACTAAAAAAAAGTATCATATAAGTACGCTTACTTTAAAATATTGATCAATCCGGCCATTCAATCAATTTTTGACCTGTAATCACAGGTTTTAATATTAAAAAACTCTACGAATAGTTAAAATTCGAAGAAATATGGATAAAAATTGTGAAATATTTCAGAATGTCAAAGTCAATATTTTTGCATTTTTTGGATTATTTGTATATTCTACGTCTTTTTTTACCCCGGGGGTCGGGGGAGGGGGGCTGAATTTTGCTCCTCTCCAATAACTGGACTTTTCCAGTAGGAGAGATGCAGAGAAAGATGGGAAAATGGTAGGGTAGGGAAAAATAAAAGATAGGATTTAATTATTAATTTTAAGGAGAGAGATAGAGTGAAAAAAATGGAGAGAGTAAATGGAGAGAAGAAAATGGAGAGGAGTCTGACTCGGGGGTTGGGGTAAACTAGGATCAAACTCACTCCATTGAGTATTAAACCCACGAACTCCCATAAGGGATAGTGAGTGGACGACCAGCTGAGCTGGACCGCTTCTTCAAGGTTTTGACATTTATATTTAATATTTTTTTCATTTTTACTTTGTTTTTTCATTTTTTCTGTTTTTGTTGTTTTTTAATTTTAACGTTTTTATATTAATTATCTATTTTTGCATTTACACTATTTTTATATTATTATATATCATTTTTCATATTTAAATGAGTTTTTATAAGATTTATAAAAATGGCTTGATTGGTTGAGATTTTAGAGTAAGCATAGTTACATTATCCTTTTTTTAGCAGGCCTTAAGTGATTATTGGAAATAATAGAAGGGTCTATTTGACCTTGGTCCCTTTTTTATTTCAATAGCAATACAGGTAAATGTCTTAAAGTGAAAATCAAATTCACTACAAGAATCATTTAAAGCTGAGTTGTGCACACTATACCATTTACAAGTTAAAACTTCTTTATCTTCAAAGTACTGGAGAAACATCCAATGCAAATTTAAGGCGGGTAAATATAAGTAGTAACTAGTAACGAGTAATGCACTTTATAATAATTACAACTGAAAGAGAAGAATAATTCAGTATATTGCTGAGAGAAGAAAAAAGCTTCTCTCGGGAAACAAGCATGTGGTACAATATTCTAAAACGGCTGAAGTGCTCAATGTATTATACCCGCCTTCATTCAAAGAAATATTGGAAAGGGACTGCCCGACTGGTAATAAAGATATAGTGCACGAGTAAATAAAATTAGCCCACTTAGATTATACAACCACACACATGTTTCTATTTGTTAGTCTCAGGACTAAATCTTGCCTTGATGCCTAGTTAGTAAGCACATACTCCTACAGTAAGTACATATTTTACTGTAGGCTATAGTAAAATAACACATGAAAACAAATAATCCACAGAGAACATCAGAGAAAAATGTGCAGGAATTGAATATCAATCGCCAGTGTTTTTTTCAATTACTATACAAGTAAATTTATTAAAGTGAAAATTAAATTCACGAACCAATACAACAACAACATTATGGGGTCACATGTACGCAGCCTTTATGGAAAAATTCACTAATCAATATATCAATATATAATCTAAAACAAATAGGTGGTTTGATAACTGATAAGTCTAACCTGGGACACGATTCCCAATATGCTGGCAGCACACACTCGAATCTGATCATCATCATCATGTATCATATCGGTTAAGAGTGTATAGACACGAGTTCTAGAGGTACTGTTCAAACTTTTGCCAGCGTGTTTGATCACTCCTTTTAAAGCAGCCAAGATAGTCTCACGGATTGCAACATCCGATATCTGTTGCCATGTCACCTTAGTTTTAGATTTCGCAAGTCAAAAAAAAAAACAGAAAGCAAATATGAAAATGAAATGAATCACCTGTAAAACAGACAATAAATCACCAATAAGAGGATCGATCCTATTAGTGATTGCACTTAGCTTTCCAAGTGCAAGAGCAGCAGTTGATCGAACAGTCCTGCAAATAACTTGTGTAAGCATGAGCTTTGAACATACAAATATTGTTGCGTAAGAATAAATGGGTTAAAAAGAAACAGAGAAACCATCAGTTTTAAAAGCTAACCTTGTATTATCCTGCAAACACTTAACAAATGTTGTTTGAAGCTGGGGAAGAAAGGGTTTTAATGCTAACCCTCCCTTTCGTATTATGATTGTTAAAGTAGAGAGAATTGCACTTTTCACTTGCCAAGGAAATTTGTCCCCTATTATACGAATTAATGGCCTGCACCCAAAACAAACCTTAAAGTTCAAATATGAACAGATATTGGACATCATAATATAATGGCTGATATACTAATAAAGGGAACTTATTTCCATTCCACGCGAATGATTAGGCTCCTTCATGCATTTAATTGAATGCAGTGCCAGTTAAGGGGGAGCTAGGCAATTGCCTAGGGCCGCACTTTGAGAGGGGCCTCTTTTATGTGTGTGAAAAATAGAAACATAAGTTTTTATGTGAGAAAAACTAATGTAATGATTTGTTATTAAAAATCATTCAGACCTAATTATAAAATTAGACATATTATGATTTTATTTAATATTATAAAATAATTTGATTTCATATACTTCCTATGTCCCGTAAAACTTGGCTAAGTTCGACTCGCACGGGGAATTGTTTAAGTATTTGTCCAACACCGGAAAGCTATAAAACAATAAAACACTATATAAGGCTTCGGGCCACTTCTTCTATCTGATTTAATGAAACCCTGGAGGTTAACATGGTATCAGAGCCAAGTCCGATTGTGGTTTGACTGCTTGTTTAACATCTATGATTAACGATAGCTTGTTAAGGGTCTGTTTGGCCCATTTATACACCCCGATATTGTCAAGTCAGATCGGGCTGAGGGGGCGTGTTAAAGTATTTGTCCCACACCGGAAAGCTATAAAACAATAAAACACTATATAAGGCTTCGGACTACTTCTCCTATCAGGTTAACTTTTTAAGATGAAACCCCGAGTCTTGACAGGAATAAAAAGTAAAAAAACTGTGTGGTCAAGATTTGACCCGAGGAGAGAGAAATAACTTGAACCACATATTTATTGCTTCAAATGGAAATGGCAAAGTTTCTTTGGACGGCTAGATGAGGAAAGTTGGCAAAGTTTTGTGAGACGGGGGCGAACATTTTTAATCACAATTTCATTAATATGAAATTGCATTGATAGCTTTAACTACAATTTCTTTTAACTTTAATTTATAATGAATGGTAGGGGCTATGGGTGATACTCTGTTGTGGCCCGATTTAAAATATTGTCGTAAAAATAATAACCCTAGTTCTTTAAAGTCTGAAATCTAATAATGTGTTTTAAGAACCAAAATAAAAACAAGAATTAATTTATAGTGTGATAAGTTTAAAAAAAATCACTTCAATTTTTTAATGGAGGCAGATTCCTTTTATAAAGTTTTCTCCATTCGACAAATAATTTCCCTATTCTCTGCACTCTTTTACGTTTTTTTTTGTATGTGGTTATATTCCAGAATTTCACAATAAAAGTTAACTAATGAGCTTAAAAGAACAAAAAAAATAACGTAGTCACAACATGTGTAAAGAAGATTACTGGGTCTAATTTTTCTCTATTTTTATGGGTATAGGCCTGTTTCCTCTGTTGCCAACCCCTTTAGGGCCGGCCCTGGTCAACAACAATAACAACATCCAAGCTTTGGTACCAAAAGATTTTGGGGTCGGCGAACATGAACCGACGCATGAAATTGATAAAGATAAAATAAAGATAAAATTAAAGATAAGATAAAGATAAAGATAAAATAAAGATAAAATTAATAAGATAAAAAGGATAAAAAGATTAAGATAAAAAGGATAAAAGGACATAGAACATAAAAAAGATGAAAATGGTCCAAGGTCTCAAAATCGCTAAACACGGCCCTGATCTAATGCTATTAATAGTCATATATGCCTATCCATAGCAGCATGGCTAGGGTAACAACTCATACCCGGTAATTGGGATGACAAACTCCTTTAATGCTTCCTCACTTGTCACTTCAATTAACTCGCCAAGCCCTAAAGCTGCTTGCTCTCTTAGATCAGCTGATCCACTCATAAGACCCTACATATAATAATAAAAATATCACAAAAGCATGCAATCCATTAGAGCAGAATACAAAATCTTGGGGCATCTACCATCAAAGACAATTAGTTATATAAGAGTCCTGGCAAGGCCTGAAGAGATCTTTCCGACTCTTGCAAGCCTTTAAAAAACACAAACTTGGAACATCTTACATCAAAGATGATTAAATAAGAAATATAAGTCTCAAAACGTCTATATTTTAAGGCTAATCATTCTTCAATAAAAAGAGTGATCGGAAATATGAATACTTAACAAACTCAGTAATAAAATAGTATTACAGTAAATTAGAAGAAAAACCTGAAGGAAGATGGGAAGCACAGGTTGAAGAGCTTTTCGGAGGCAAAAACCGGGTATTAACACTGGTCCTCTCTGCATGTATTTATATTTCACTTAGACTTACAAACCGTGAATTAAATGGAAGCATAAAAGTCAATGATCCCTGTGTAGTTTATCACACCAACTAAAGTACGATCCAGGATGGAGTATCAACACACATGTATGTACCATCATCATTATCATTATCAGCACCTTAATCTCTACTAGTTGTGTTGAGGGTATTATGTTTATTTATATAATTTCCTAAACTTAATTAACACTTTCAAAAAACAGTGGCAATTATGTACAATGAATACTCCTCCTGTTCAACCTTCATAAGAAGGAATACTGAGATGAAAATCTGATAGCCTTGGAAAACATTATCAGACTCTGATGAGTTGACATCTATGAAGCATGGAAACTCTCTGCACCTCACATTTCTGCGTTTTGGAAACTCAAAAGCGTGTCAGAAACTCAGAAACTTCAAATTCGTGTTCCGGGGTTGTTTCCGTAATCATGAAGAATTGAGAAAACCCGTTTCCTGAAATAATTAACGTTTTAAAAACCTTGGGTTTTCAACTTTTTTTCCTTTTTAAAAAATTCTCTAATGGCAAATATTACAGAATATCTTTTTAATACAATAGTGAGCTTTTGTGGGTTTTCTTCCTAACAACATTGTGACATTTCCATAATGCAATGCATTGCTAGAAATGTATTGCATTTTATGTTTAGTTATGTACTAATATGTAATGATTTCTAAATTTCAACATGTAAACGTTTTTATCATTGGATTATTAATGTCATACGGAAAAAAAAATGTGCATACATACATACATACATATATATATATATAAATTTTAATAGTTATGCGTTTCCCCCACATTTTGTATCCTATTTTTTTAGAAATTATGTTTCTTGCGTCTCCTGTTTCTCGTTCCACGCTTGTTTCGCGTTATACATACGCTTCAACAACAACAACAACATTCAAGCCTTAGTCCCAAAAGATTTTTGGGTCAGCTGACATGAATCAATACATGACATCGGAGCCAAAAAGAAAGATAAATGAGATAAAAAGATAAATTTAGATTAAAATGATTAGATAAAGATAAAAATGACAAGATAAAGAGGATAAAAAAACGAGTTTTTTCTCAAACTAATGTTAATTAAAAAGATATTTACCAAAATAGGGTTAGGTTAAAAGTATTTCCCAAAATACTGCTCTCTCAACTAAAAATAGGGGCCCCACAAAAATAAAAATCCCATTTTTATTTAAAAGCGATATAACTTTTGTATTTGTACTCCTCTAATCATTACAAAAAATACATCAAAATTCATAACTTTTTATTATCTTTCATATGACACCAATATTGAATATATAATAATTAAAAAAAATAACACTTTAAAATATCTTTTTTTAAATGTTATTTTTTTTAAAGATTTTTATATATTCAATATTGGTGTCATATGAAAGATAATAAAAAGTTACGAATTTTGATGTATTTTTTGTAATGATCAAAGTACAAATACAAAAGTTATATCGCTTTTAAATAAAAATGGGATTTTTATTTTTGTGGGGCCCCTATCTCATCTTACTATGTGCGTTATTGCTTCTGCGTGTGTTACTTGTTTTACCTAAGCCGCCACTTCAAGTGGCGGCTCTCTCAACTGGGGTTTAGGAGAGCAGTATTTTGGGAAATACTTTTAACCTAACCCTATTTTGGTAAATATTTTTTTAATTAACATTATTTTGAGAAAAAACTCTAAAAAAAACATAAAAATAAAAAGGATAAATTTGAGTTTGCACCCCACTTTTTGGGTGATATTGGATTTGCACCCCATTTTCAAAACTTTTAGACTTTGCACCCTGTCTACATCATTTTGTGAAGAAAAATTCCTGAATGGGGTGCAAAGGCAAAGACATTTTAGGTGAAATAGGATGCAAAGTCTAAGAGTTTTAAAAATGGGGTGCAAATCCAATATCACCCAAAAAGTGGGGTGCAAAGTCAAAATATCCCAAATGATAAAAGGAAAAAAGATCATAAGGTAAGGAAGATAAAAAAAAGTAAAAGAAAAAAGGAGAGGAGATCAATCTCCACTTTGCTCTCTACAACGTCATACACTCATACTCTCATCCAACCCAAGAAGAAGCATATCACTCTCGATTCCTCTAATACACGTCTGTTCGGGTATAAGAAGGGGGCTATGAATAGAATAAAATACACTTCAACGTGTACGGAGAATATTACGAGATTGTGATAGGTTGCCGATTCAAAGCTAAAATAGTTATCACTCTTCAAGAAAAAATGATTCCTAACTAATAGTTGTTTTACAAATTACACAAAAAAGACAAAGATTATTATACTTTTTCAATTTACCGTGCTGTACTCAATAAGGTACATTATCTCATATTTTGAGGCTTTGAAAAACTATTTTGAAGCACAGATAAATGTAATTTAAAAAATCGCATATTACTACATCAGCATGCCACCACACTTTGTATACCCATGAACGAAAGCTTTCTTAATGTGTGAAACACCTACAACCATGGGCAGAGCTAGAGGGGGGCATCCTAGGCCCAACCCAAATTTAAAAAATGCCTTAAATATTAGTTTAAAATATTTTGTGTTAGAAAAATTCATAAGGAATCTTTATACTGGCCCAACCCAATTTGGGCCCTGCCTACAAGTCTACAACCAACCATACTTTCACAATGTAGGGGTATATGGTTGTCGCCTTCCTTAGCAATCAAATATGCCAAGTGTGGAATAATATTTCCCTTACGTTCCTAAAGCAAATGCATGAACCTGTCACTCAATTAGGACAAATTAATAATATGGAGCAATAAATAATTATATTAATATCATATGTATAGGTTTATTTTAATATTTCATTGGAGGTTTTTTTCATGGATATATCTTTGGATAGTTTACAAAGATAAGTGGAGTTTTTTTATCAATTCAGTTAAATGCCCAACAATTTTAAACTTTGATCAACAAGGGCCAAAAATGTGGACATTCATGGATTTTTTATTTTAATGAATGTTCTGAGTATCCTGAAAAAGGTCTTTCAACCACATTTCCAGGTTGGTACTGTCAATTTACTTATATATGCACATGTGCATATGGATATTTCACACATTCATAACAATAATGCATAAAGCCTTACCTTTTTCTTCCTGCGTTCTTTATCTCTAGATGTTGATACAGCATCACGAACCAACTTTATATATGAAGGTAAAACTTCTTTAGGAACTGAGCTTATCACAGATGACAAAGCTTCCCATGCAGCCTATAGAAATGCAGGGTAAGACAAACATGCACATTGACGTGAAAAGTCGCTCATACAATCAATAAAATATATTACCGTCACAGTAGCTGAATCTGAATCACTTAGTAAAATAATCAGAGTGGATATCACATTTGGGGCTTCATCAGCAAGATAAAGATCACTGGTTTTGAATAAAAACCCAATCAAGTATGCAGAACTTTTTCTGGTAGTTTCCTGAGGGGGAAATGCAAAAAGAGTTAGCTAAAGAAATAAAAATGAAAGCAGTATAGTTATCATTACATAATTCAATCGCACATGCCTGATTATCCCCAACTCCTTTCAGAAGCTCTGACAGAACGGACTCAATACCTTCTTCATCAATTACTGAAACAACAGTTTCTGCTGCTTTCGTGGCCAAACTTTGAATCTCCTATATTTCCAAGGGGAAAGCATTGCAAGGGAGAGAAACAGGGAGGGAGAGAGAATAAGAGTGATGACTCAAATTCAAATCAAGTAAAAGATGGAACCACCAACCACAGGGTAAAAACATTATGGAACAAAAGTAGGTTCCTACCAAATCAGCATATCCCATTGCAGTGAGTAAAGCGGGAAGAATGGTACCAAGATGAGCATCAAGACCGGGTCCCGCAACTTCTGCTAGAGCTCCCAAAGCATGTGCATTGAAGGCACTAAATTTGAAACCATAGGTTAAAATAAAGAACAAAATAACAGAAATAGAAATATGCAGAAAGCATAATAAACAGACAGGATGCATACGAGAGTGGAAGGTGTACAAGCTTGGGAAGAATGTGAGGCAGCACAGCACTGGTCCTGACACTAAAGGAAGCATCTAACGTATTTTATAAACCGGGCAAGAGACATAAAAAAGGGCAATAAGCCAATAATACACATTTGGATATGGTAATAAACCTCAGTATTTGTTTTAAGCCATCAAGAGCAGTGTTGGAGGTTTGATCATCCTCCAGAGCATGCAAAAGTGTGGGAACGATCTCATCTATTGCTTGCAGTCCAGCACTCTAAACAAGCAGACATTGTCATCAAACATTAATCTTACAAAATAACAGGAAGTTCACTCACTATAGGTGGGGATGATTACACCCACCCACCAATGACGTAGTGCCACCAATCTACCATAATCATGATTAAGTAATTGCTTACACTAGTCATGATTGTAGTGATTTTATATTCCTGATGTCACCTTAATGCGTTTAAGTGGTGTAATTTGGATCACATCATGTGTGTCAACATTTTTTACAAGAGTGGTGACTAACAAAGGGTACCTTGTAAAGAGTGCTGAATGCCAACCCTGCTGATTCCCGAACCTCAGGCATGCTATTAGAACAAAAAGATGAAATGCGTCAAGCAGAAAAACAAAAACAGATGTTCTTCCTTCAAAAAAGAAAACATCAGACCTATCACAAAGTGCTGCACGAATTGTAGGGATAAGCTTGTCCATAAAATGCAGTAACTGGTTTTTCCCAGCACTTGCCATCACCTCACTTAAGCCAATGCAAACACCCTGAAAACAGTTTGGTTTCATTAAAGGCACCAGTGAAACCTAAAAACAAAATTAATCAACTAAATCTGAAAAAAAAAATCACTTTTGTGGACAATCAATTGGAGGACAACTGATTGGCCACAGAGATAGAAATTATCACGTTAAAATTTTAATGTTCTTTTCCAAGAGTCTGTCATCACATTGCAGCCTCAGTTCAGCCATCAAAACCATATTGTCATTACCCTCCTTTACATGTCCATAAATAAATGAAACTAGGGAGAATATGTTATTGATCCAACATATTCCAATGAAACTAAAATAAGAACCAGTGGTTTTCTATTTATTGACTTTAAGGCATTTAAAGCAATTTAATGACATGATGAATTTAGTGTTTTCCTACTCGCTGTGGATATACTGAAATTTAAGTACCGATTATCAAACATTTGAGCATTTTCTTCATGATGTTTCATCTAGGATTTTTATTCACTACGCCTACCAAGTTAAAATTTTGATTTTGTTCTAACAATTTAACACATCAATAAATATACTTGAATCTTTACGTAAACTTATTATTATTGACTGTCATTCCAGGCCTTGTGGGCACAGACTAACCCTTGAATGACCTAGATGCATGTCAGGGTCCTAGTATACACAACTTGTAGTGCTATAGGGCATTATATATTTTAATGTATTATTATTATTACTTTGACCATTCTTTACTAGTTGCTACCGTTTGATTTTTATACAATTCACATACAGTATTTAATGTTAAATATTGATTATTTATATTCGTGAAAGTGTGCCAAATCACAACCACAAGATTGTTTCAGAATGGAAGGAGAAATTACTAGACTTTAAGAATCTAAACTATAACTAACCCTTGCAGGGCAAACAATTCCACACAGACTTTAAAAATGATATTGATTTGAACTCTACGCCCATTTTTTATAGGAACTATACAATATCTCATGCAAATATATGTAACGTGATGAAAACCAAAACCTAAAAATATGAATTGTGTATGAGTACTTATACAAGGTTAGGGGGCATTTATCTAAGTTAAGACGTATTCCTTTTATGAACCATAAACATAGCACCCATGTTCAGTGGCGTAGCTAGGAATATAAATTGGACCAGCACAAACAATTTTTACACATAAATTTTACCTAAAATTACATATACATATATTCCATTCTTATTTCAAATTTGGGGTGAGGCAGGGTCTAGCATGCCCCTACTTACACCCCTGCCCATGTTACATAGAGAAGATGGATGAAGTGATCCAAAATACAAATTTACACCTGCATCTGCTTGTGTGTGCATACATGCATAATAGAATCAAATGTTAATCTGTTTGTTCAAATCATTTTGCAACAATACAAAAACAACTCATTATCAATATTAATTATAGGTTCAAAAATAAGCATTCAAAACACTGTAAATAAGCTGAGCATAACAATGACTAAAGAGTTCAAGACCAATGACAATAGCCTTAAGGTTAATAAACTCTCACTTGTCTTTTCCCAGGGTTAGAGTTGTTTAGACCCTGTGACAATATTGGAATGATCAATGGAAGCACTCTTTCTCCGAGTTTCCTAACAAGTTCACCAAGAGCTCGTCCAGCAACCTTGCATGTAACAAAATTCACTTTAAAATTTTCTATACTTTTCCAACATGCTTATAAGGCAACATCTGGAAACATATTGCAAAAATATTAAAACCTGTCGCCGCTCAGAAGATGAGGAAGCAAGCGAGCTAATTAAAGTGTTCATCAACACCGGTAGAATTTCCTTCAAAGTCTTCGGAGTATTTGCAACAATGGTTTTCCAGACATGTAATGCAGACTGAAGCAAAAGAGAGCAAATTTAGTTCATTATGTACTGCCAGCATATGATGCAAAGGTATAGGTAATAGTAGTTAAATTGAAGCAATCATAGCAAATGACTTCAGCAGTACCTGGCGTACAGTAAGGCTGACATCAGTCCGAACCATATACAGTGCAGCAAGAACTTCATTGCGCTTCTCCCTTCCAAGTACCTCAATGATAGCTCGGCCATGAGCTTCAGTACTTGAACCTTCGTCATCACTGCCACCCTCAAGATGAGCTTTTCCAGATGTTCCAGCAACCTGTAAGGTAGTTGAACAATTGAGGTTACAAGACACAAATTAGGAATATAAACTTCTCAAATTATAAGATCATACCTTAAACAAAAGGTCACCCAATAACTCCACAGAGCTCTGCCTAATACGCCAATTGTCATTAAAAATACCTTCCTCCACAGCAGGAAGGAGCAGAGGTAAAGACCTACAAATTTTTTGGGGGGAGGAAAAACATAACTAATAACACATAAAAACAAAATAATAAAAAACACTGCCATGGTGAGATTTATCTGTGGTTCAGAAACCATAACGACAATCGACAAAAGCATTGCAGTCTTTATCCAAGTAGACCACATAAACATGGCATGAATTAAAAAAATACATTCACGGGAAGAAAACCAATGAAAAGAGCAATAAACCACAGTAAGGGATTTTTAAACGAACGTTGTTGCATAATGCTCCACTAAAACATGCCCAGCACCAAGTGCAGCATCACGTACAGATTCATTCTCATCGGCAAGTCCTGGAAAATCAGTATGACTTGATAAATAAGATTTTTCAGCCCAAGGTGCAGATGTTTTAGTTGTATGAGCATAAATAAATTATTCACAACATTCCCTCCCACTTTCATGCGAGATAGATATAGAGAGAGATTAGGGTTACCATCTATAATTGCAGGAAGAACTGGCTGCAAATAGTTCTGGAATTGGATACCTAAAGATCTTGGAAGATACTAAAAAAGAAAGGGCAATAAATTAGAAGTAATCGATATTGATTCATAGAAAAATAAAACCAGCACAAGAGAGAACAGGTTAAATAATCAGCTCCTACCTTAAAGAGTGACAAATAGCCATCACGGACCGATGCTTTTTGATGAGAACAGTTTCGTATGATATCTGGAAGTATGGTTTCAAAGTACTCCAAACCCAATGCAGACAATACCTGTAAAAGGAAACAAAGTGGGTAGCACAGTTATTTGTAAAGATTATGGTTAGCTTTGAATCCCCAGTGATACTAGATGATACACTAAATCAAAAAGCTAAAGTTTGTGGGGAAAGTTCAACCTTTCCTGCTTTGTAAAGTTTAAAAAAAGTCACTTAGACATAAGGGAAGGGCCACAAAAGAGTTGCAGTAAGTTCATAACTTCACAGTAAAGTGGTTTAAAAGCAGAACTAAATCTATATGAAGCACTAAACAATAGCTGATAATGCACCACACCGGTAGACCCAGATATGAAATAAATTTGAAAACCAGAATTTCATGCAGTTCTTAGTTATGATATTAAACACTCTCAACAAAATAAAAAAATTGTTTTGAAAAGAACAACTTCACAATTAATTAAAGTTGGGACATGTGGCTAAATATAGTCAAAAAGGTAAACCTCTAATTTATTTTGAATCCTAAGAAATACCATGTTTTTCTTTCAACTTTCTATACATCAAAACTATGCCATCATTTGCAATGGAGCCAAAGACTCACTATTTTTTGGCCCGGGAATATGATGGAATAAAGCACATGGGCTCACTAAACTGTCTGCGCTTCTTTGTTATGAAGCAACAGTCAGTTCAGGCAATTTTTGACGCGATTTTCACTATGGTCATCCGGAAACAGTCTCTCTGTGCTTTAGTACAGGGGCAAGACTGCGTACATCCGACCCCCCCTTACCCCACTGTAGGTGGGAGCCTTTGCGGCACTGGGGTAATGATGATGATGATGAACTTTCTATACATCAAAACAAAATATTTACGCACATATCTACTTCCAAGATGGAGCATAATTGATGATACCAGTTCAGTTTATGTGAACAAAATTAACATGAGACAAGATTGCACCCTTTCCAGACCCTACTAGGTTTATTAAGTTTGGTTTAGCATTGCAAATGTCCTTTCTGTTACAGATGCACAACAACATTCAAAAAGACAAGTCTCCAAAGTGGTATATACATACATGCATACACATGGATGCATGCAGCATGCATGCATGTATGAATGTATGCATGCATCCGGTGTGTGTATGTATGTATGTATGCATGCATATAATTACATATGCTCTCTAGTTGAAAAATATTAACAATAAAATGATAAACTCACATTGAAACGTTGAATCATGTAAACTATTGGCATTGATGGAAATTAATTGAAAACTATTTACTCATGTGACATCTACTGATGAAAACCACATTCTTCAAAGCATTCTAAAGATGGAAGTATGTTATATATATGAGCAACTTCAAGAAGCAAAGAAAGTAAAAAGGCTTTTATACCATTGACTTGCAAAATTTAAGTGATGGAATGTTATGAAACAGAACTATAACAGATAGCATTCCTAAAACGGCGTATAGTTAAGGGAGTGTTTGTGATTGCTTCTGCTTTAAAGTGATTTTGGAGCAAGTGCTTAATAGTAAAAGTTGGTAGTGTTTGAGAAAAAATTGAATTTGAAAAGTAAAAGTTGGTAGTGTTTGGTAAAATATGTGCTTTTTGTGTAATAGGAAATGTAAAAAGCAATTTGTAGCTTTTAGCTTTTAAGTGTTTAATTTAAGCAGAAGTTGTCACTTGAAAACACTCACTTCAACTTTTTTAAGCCAAAAGCTGAAAATCACTTTTTAATTGTTTGCAAAGATACCCTAAAAACAGAACAGAGAAATAGTAATAAGTATGAATTATCTTTAACCTCACTCAGGCCCTGTGCAGCTCCAGAGCGCTCAACATTGCTGCCATCAGATTTCAGAGTATCTAACAGCCAAGGCACCAAGTCTGGGAAGTTTTCTTCTCCCATTCCCCTTATAAGAGAGCCAATAGCTCTTGCAGCAACAGAACGAACTTCAGGGATAGGATCCTGAAGAACCTATTTAAAACATGGGGGTGTTTATAAATCCATTTATTCATTCCAGGATCTATTCATTTAAACAAACTTACAATTACCTTTTTAACTTCAGGAAGAAGCAAGCCTATGTAAGGGATCATGTCCTTTGGCTCTGTAACCAAAGAACACATATTCCCAACAATTTGGGCAGCCTTCTTCTTAGTTTCAGCACCTCTTTCTCTAAGGCCTCGATAGACAATTGGTACCAATAATGCAAGAGATGGAGCATCAACTGTGTTGACAAAGGTTGTCTGCAACAGAATAATAGCCATAAGCCTTTTCAAAATTGTAAGTACGTGAAAAAATAAGGCCGAAGGATATAAGACCTGAAGGAGTATGTCAAGGGAGTATTTTGTGTATTCATTGGGTTCCATAAGACTTGTTAAAAGAGTAGGCACAAGAGCAGATATCTCTGGATTCTTTATAACACTCCCTACCTATAAGCAATGAAAATGTTAAAAGTTGATAGATAAAGAGTGATTAAAAATAAAAATGGCAACTTGAATATGATAAGCTTCTTCACTTGTTGAAGTGCAGTCTGTCCAGCTGATTGAACTTTAGGATGAGTGTCAGTCAAGACCTGTAGGACAGCCAATGCAGCTTGAAATGTGTTCTTACGTTTTACAAATAGCTATAACAATGGGCCTCGACTATAGAAAACACATATGACAGAAATTCAACCTCTGTTAATTTTGGCACTACTTTGGGGAGGCACTGGGACAACTGCTGTGGCGCACAGTAGGCCATAGCACCAAGAAGTTGCACACTACTTTGCTTTGTCCTCCAAGCTTTATCTTCAAGGCCCTGATATAGCATGAACATTTAAAATATGGTGACAGAGGGCCTAATGCAGAGTAGTAAATTTGGTGGCGACTACATCTTTACCCAGCTAGAAATCATAACATTGCAGGAAGAGAAACAAATACACATTCATGCATAAGTCTACTACGTACAATTATAGCTTGCAAGATGAACCTAAAAGAATGTAGAAAGAACCTTCAGAAGTGATGGAAGGATTAGTTTCACTCCTTGAGCAGTCAATTGAGACATCATTGCCCGAGCAGCACATTCTGCAGCTTCTCTGACTGCAATCACTTGGTCAGAGAATGCAACCAGAAGTAGTGGAAGCATTTGAATTACATAGCTGAAAGAAATTGATAGAGCACTGGTAAATCCACTCACAACACAATAGATTCAATAGGAAATTCACAAGAGCAAGATCAGAAGAGTTTATTGAATTGCGTAGAAAAACAGAACGTATACAGTGCCTAGGACGATTCGAGATGCCCAGTCTCCAAAGTCTAAGTCCAACCCAATGACAGCCTACTTCTGCTAGGTTATTAACTACTATTTATAGTAAAAGCCCACTTATTATTATCTACAATAATAGGCCCACTTATTATTATCTCTAAAAATAGGCCCATTCCTATCACTACCCCCCCCCCCCTAAACAACCACCTTGTCCTCAAGGTGGGTGATATGAAACAGCCTTGATCTTCAACTTCAGCATCATCCTTGCGCCTCTCCCTTCCCAATACATCACGAATTTCTGAACCCATAGCTTCCTGATTTGAACCTTCACCATCACTCCTTCCATAGCCAGAAAGAGCATAGCAACAAAGAGCAGAGGCAAGGACTTTGTTGCATCCTGCTCCAAAATGTTGCCGGATTTAAAATCTTCCAGTAACTGCATCTCTGGTCCATCTCCCGACCACTTTATGCTGTGTTTCCTGAAATTTTTCTCTGCCTTTCCCTGATTGGCTAGCAGTCCTGTTCCCAGAATCACATTAATCTTTCCAAGGTCTAACAAATAGAAATCCTCAGTCATCACTGAATTCTGTACCCAAGTCTGTAGTACCTCACAACTGCTCTGCAGAGATAATTGCTCTCCCTTCCCCATCTCGACTTGAAACCTTACTGCTGCAAGCAGAGCATCTACTTGATAACTAGAAATCATGTGAATCCCAGCAGCCACACCAATTTCAGTAACATTCCCGCAAGTTGTAGTAAGTTTATGCATAATGTCAAGCCCACTAGATGAAGTGAGTTTATCTTCAAAGGAAACTTGTCCAATAAGTGCAACGGCATTTGCTACCCCAAACAATCTTCTCATCTCAAATGCATTCATTACTAGATTTGGAGTTCTACTGGCAGACTCAACATCAATTGATAATAAAGCTCTATTTCTTTCAGAAAAGGTGCAATCACCTGAAGGTCCTCCTGAAAAAATGGCATGGGGTTCACCTTTAGGTTCAGCGACATCTGATGCTTTTTCTCGCTTTCATAGTCACCCTTAGTGCACTTCTCTGCATTTTCTCTGACAAAAGAAGCACTCCTATCATCAGAGGATGGTTGCTGCTCCCTCACAGACTCCTGCAGGACTGTCGATATCTGCGCACAGTGAGAAGTAATTTGCGACATAACCTGCGAACTGGGGATATCTGCTCATGGTAAAGTTGGCGAACTTGTAGAAGGTGCTTGTGACTGAGACGACACCTGAGAACTGGAAGCCATTGTTCGCGACATAGCTGAAACAGTTTGCGATGACATCTGTGAACAGGAAGCTTTTCTCAATAGAGTCTTACTTGGTCGTGAACTGCTGGTGGATGATGAAGTTCGTGATTTCGAACTGTGAGAAGAAATCAACTCAGGTTGAAATCTACGAATGATAGATTTCTTCAGAGTGTCCCAATTAGTTTCTTCAGTCTGGTATTCCCACAAATGAAACCAATTCAAAGCCCTATCTTCCATAGCAACCCTAGAAGCTTCAACCTTCTCTTCCTCTTCAATGTCAATTAACCGAAAATACATCTCCATTTGTATAATCCAGTTATAGGCTCCTTCACCGTTAAACAAAGGTAAATCTAATTTTCTTCCCTTCAGAACAGTTCTCTTCTACTGCTATCGCGACCCAAACTAGAGAGTCTGGAGTGAAAGTAATCGGAATTGCCTTCCGATGCAGCTAGGTGCAGCGATTCCTTTGTTCACCGATGTTGAGATGAGTGCAATCTTCCTGTGGTTTGAAACCGTTCATTTATCGCCGCCAGGGATGCAGCGATGTTCTCCATCGCAGATTTCCTCTCCCTGTTCGAACGCTTCTCCCGGTTCGATCGCATCTCCCGGTTCGAATCAAAGGCGTCCAGTTCTGACCGTCGTCGTTCTCTGCTCTGCTCAGCGATCATCTTCGTTCGTTCGTATATCAGCTTCGCGAATAACTACTTTTCCTCTTCTGCGATAAAGACTTGACGATCAAATAAGACTCCAGGAGCGATTTGCTCTGATACCATTGATAGAGCACTGGTAAATCCACTCACAACACAATAGATTCAATAGGAAATTCACAAGAGCAAGATCAGAAGAGTTTATTGAATTGCGTAGAAGAACAGAACGTATACAGTGCCTAGGACGATTCGAGATGCCCAGTCTCCAAAGTCTAAGTCCAACCCAATGACAGCCTACTTCTGCTAGCTTATTAACTACTATTTATAGTAAAAGCCCACTTATTATTATCTACAATAATAGGCCCACTTATTATTATCTCTAATAATAGGCCCATTCCTATCAGAAATTGAAAGAAGCTGTTACTAATAAAATAATGACAGCTAGCATTCAATTATTCACTAGTGTGTGACTTCTCTTGCCATCATCATGGTTTAAAAAGGCGCTTATGAGGCGGGTTCTGAGCCGCGCCTCAAGCTGAGGCGTACTAGTTGGGTATCAAGGCGTAGGTTTTTTTCGCAGGTAAAGAGGCTTACGCCTCATAGATTGAGGCGCACGCCTTGAGGCGTTTGTTGAGGCACACGCCTTGAACACTTGCGCAGTGACTTAAAACAGGCCCAAGTATTTCATTTAATAAAAAGCCCAGAGTTCTTTCTAAATAGAAGCCCATATACTAAACCCTAACAAGTCTTATTTCATTCAAATCCTGATAAGGATTTGAAGGATTTGAACCTTCACGTATACTTTCTATTCACCTACGCAAAAAAACTCTCTCTTCTCCTGCGACATCTCCTTACAACAGCCCAAAAGCTTCAAGGTAACTTTTCTTCTCCTCTCTTTCTCCTATTCTTATTCAACTCCTCTCCTTCATTTCTTCTCCTTCACTGCTTTTTATCCTTCTTTTACAGAACTGTTGTTCTTCTTCTCCTTCACTGCTTCTTATCCTTCTTTTACAAAACTGTTGTTCATTTTTCTAACTGGTGAAGGATTTACTTTGCTTCCTTAGTCATGTCATTAATAATACTTCTGTGTAGATTTAGTTTAATGGTGAGAGGTTCAAAGAAAAGATGTCATGCTTCTACTGCTACACCTAGTAGTTCTGAAGGCCTTGGTGATGCAATTTGTGTGGGTTGTTTCTGTGTGTTTGTGAGACTGTGATGTGTCTGTTTTTGTGAGATGTTTCTTTTTGTGTGTTTGAAGCCTAGTGGCTTACTGGTAATAGGTCACTCTTATTTGTGTCTCACACTTTTTGGACTTATAATTATGGATATCCTTTACTTCTTGAGTTGTTTGTTACTAGTTTAATTATATCAAGTTTTATATGTCTGTATTTTTTGAGGCTTACGCCTCAATACGCCTCAAGGCTTGCGCCTCGCCTCTTAGGAACAAACCTCCTTGAAACCCGAACCCGCCTTTTTAAACCTTGGTGACAACCATGCTACTATCAGTATTGCTAAGAATCATGTCCATCATGACAGGACCAAATAGCATCAAAGGATATCCAGCTTAGCTATGTTCCAACCAGGCAGCAAATAGCTGATATACTCACCAAGGCACTTCCCAGAAATCCCAGAATTCAGTTTGAAGACTTATCTAGCAAGCTGTGCATGGATGATATCCATCACCCAGCTTGAGGGGGAGTGTAGATTATTACAAATGGTTCTAATCACTCACCCGATTATGCATTTATGAGGAGATATCTTAGAGATATCAGAATCTCTAAATATTCCCAATTATCTTTTCTTTATTAGGGAACCTTAATTAGGAGGATTCCTTCCTTATTTCCTTTTTTTCTCTAGCTATATATATCCTATATTCTTCTCCTTGTAATACACAGAACATAATAAACAGAATACAATTTACTTTCTCGAGTTATTTCTACACAACTTGTTTGTTTGTTTTGTAAGTTGAGCTTGAGATAGCCTTAAATAATCTGATGTGTCTGTTTTTGTGACTGATGTGTCTGTTTTTGTGAGATGTTTCTTTTTGTGTGTTTGAAGCCTAGTGACTTACTGGTAATAGGTCACATGTATTTGTGTCTCACACTTTTTGGGCTTATAATTATGGATATCCTTTACTTCTTGAGTTGTTTGTTACTAGTTTAATTATATCAAGTTTTATATGTCTGTATTTTTTTAGGCTTACGCCTCAATACGCCTCAAGGCTTACGCCTCGCCTCTTAGGAACAAACCGCCTTGAAACCCGAACCCGCCTTTTTAAACCTTGGCAATCATCATACGCAACAGGATACTAAGTAGAACAAAACAGTAATATGATACATGTTGAAGTTAGAGCAGACATACGGCTCAAAAAGTTTTCCTAATGTCTCACAGAGACATTCAAATGCAAGCAATGCTCCTTCACGGCTTTTAGCAGAATTCCTGCAAAAATAAATCAATAATCAGCTACATAAAGATGTTTCGAATTACAAGTTGTGGTCATTAAGATGCAAATGCATCATCCCAGTGGCCAGGCACATAGTAGTCAATGGCGCAAATGGCGATCACCATTTCTCTGCCATTGGCGTTTCAGGGTGTCATCACCACAATTCCTGGCTATGGAGTCGAGGAGACCAATTGTGTTCCCATATGTGCGCCATCACCACGCCTGCGCTATTTTGCGCCACTTTATTGCGTTAATTTCCAAAATATTTAGGCCCAGATTAATAATGGCCTTCATGACTCGTGAGTGGGTTGACTATTACACCCTACATGAGTACACTAACAATAGATTCTAAATATAAAAACAACAAACGGCTAATAATACCAAAGAACCGACTCTGGATGTGTGCAAGAGAAATGTGCGAACAGCGATCACCCAACGACCAGATAGCAGCGACCATCCAGCGACTATCCAACGAGCACCAAGCTGTCGGCAACCACCCAGCTGTGCTTTGGCAGATATGAAAAACAGGCAATTCCTCCCCAGATATTTTTGTGTTTACTATATTATGTGATGTATGTTATATTGTTATGGATATTAAGTTGGTTTGATTTGGATTAGTTTTGGTACTATTTTGTTTTTGTAACATTTTTTAATTGGTGGTTAAGTCATACACTTATAATGTCTATAGGTTATGTTTATACTTGTTAGACTTAGTGTTTCTTGTGGTGCACCACTTTTGCGGCATCGCCACATGAAACTACACCCGCGCCATGATGGTCGCCGTGCCCAGGCAAAGTAAAAACTTGATCTAGCAACTACACCAGGTTGGTAGGAAGGGAGTGACACAAGGGATACGTCCCCGGTTCGATCCTAGCAAAGACCTTGGCAAGAACCTTACTCTATCAGTTTGTGATTAAAGTCCAATTTACCTCCTCCCAGATAACTGACCGGTCGGTCCTAGGGGTGCCTAGGGGATGTGGTATAATCCTTTTTTTATGTGACAATTATAAATTAATAAAGCTTCAATAAGAAATGGTTTTCCCTTTTATATTTGTTTGTTTCCAGATATTTTTTGAGAAACTAGAATACATGATATTTGAGTTTAGGGTTTTGATATTTTCCCTTGGGAATAAGGCTTGGATGTTGTTGTATATTTTTTGAGAAACTAGAATACAGGACATTTTAGTTTCTATACCTGGTGAAAGATGAAAGCATGAAATGTAAGTTTGAACTAGCCAGACTTGGTTCATCCACCAACAGTGACAATGCAGAATCTCATATGAGAGAGAAAATGGGCTCACATTGTACATATTATTTTTGGTGTAGTTAACATAAATGAGTGCAAAAATTTTATAGAGCCCCATATGACTCTCTTATGGAGTCATATGGGGTATCGTGGCACCATCTTTGCCATTCAATTTTTAAGTGGGGCCAAGGTTGTCAAAGGCGTAAGGCGCACCTGAAGCACTAGGAGTCTTCCGGCGCTTGAGGCGCAAAGCGGAAAAAAGCGCTCGCTTGACTCGGGTGAAGCGCATTACTTATATAAAGTCACATATACTATTCTATAAATACCAAATATGATGTATGTAACATCATATTGAACCAAATGCATCAAAAAAGCTAGGATTCACCAAATAATAAAGTTTGGTATATTGAATTAGCACATTATTATTATTATTATTATTATTATTATTATTATTATGATTATTATTATTAGTATTAGTATTATTAAGATATGGGCTTTTTTTTCAAAGTTTTAAACTAAAAAAGGGCTGTCAGCCTTTTCCGTTTCAGGCGACGCAGGCACGCGCCTATAGCGCTTCCGCGCTTCATGCGCTTCTAGCGCTTATGCTGCGCCTTGCCCAGGGTTGTGCGCTTCTACCTTACTCAGGCGCTAGGGGTCTACCTCGCTGCGCTTTGTGCGCTTAAGCGCAGAAGCGAGCGCTTTTGACAACACTGAGTGGGGCCCTCCACTTAAAAAATGAATGGTAAGGATGGTGCCACAATACCTCATATGATTCCATAAGAAAGTCATATGGGGCTCCATAAACTCACTCTAAATGAGTGTGCCATCATTATACATATATAGAAGAAAAGACTTGTACTAATATTTTATACAAGCTAGATTTATACAAACTGACCTGTCAAGAAATCCTTCATTCAAGGCTTTCACAATACCATATTTCTTTAGGCAGGAAATTTTGAATCCTTTAACAACCCCTGCAAGTCCAAATGCTGCTCCTCGGCGCTCCCCATACTTGTCACTCTTCATTAATTTATCTAGAAGCCTTGAAATAAGAACAGGTCCATCCTCCTGAGTAGTTTGAAAAAATAAACAACAGAAAGAGACCGGGTCAAATTAGAAAACACTTTGCTTTCAAATAGTGCTTCAATGCTATGAAGAAAATGAGGGAGGAATACAGGAAAAGAGTGCTTCAAGGCTATTGTGAGCTAGGAATTTAGTTGAAATAGAATAGCCTTGCATGAAGGATTCCTCAACAGGTCAATAGGCAATAAACAATAAAGATAAAGAACATTGGATGACTGGAAGTATAAAAGTTGATTAAAAAATATCACAAGAAAGTAGCCAATCAAGTGAATAAGCAAAAAAAATCCCCAACATCAAGCGGTTCCATTCCAATGAGCAAGATAAAGAGCATAATGAAATGCACGAATACATCTAAAACGTAATCTAGATGGTGCTGAACAGATTGAGTTGAGTTTGTGATAACACATTCTATATGCAACAACTGACCAAGCCTAGTATTAGTAAGGTAGGATCAGCTATATCTTCAAACTTTATTAAACCCCAATTGACTAATTACAACAAAATCAGAAGTCTTTTTTAAGTAGCTATTCATCAATTTGGGTTTAGCATTATAGTAAGGTAGATCTATTTTCAAATTATAGTATTGGTCATGTAAGAATCCACCAACTTCATGGGGCATCAAAGAAATATTATACCTGCATAACATTAGGTGGATGTCATGAACAGTTATGTGCAGTATTTGAATTTCACCCGAGTGGGCCTAGTATAATATACGGAGTATATATATAACAAGCTTAAGATTAATTCAGTATTTGTCAAAATCGGGATCGAAACATAAAAACAAATACATATATAAAAGCTATTATTTTTTAGCAATCAGTAATCAACAGTTCTCTTGAGAACCTGCTTTGATTGCATCAGAGGAGAAAGACAGGTGGAAACTGCTCGCTGAACAGCTTCAGAAGGAGTGTTCAGTACATCCAGCAACTTTTCAACAACAGCAAGAACCTTTGGATCATCCTATTGTAAAACATGCATGTCAATAGGGTGCTACAATGTTAGTCCACCACCCTCTCTTTAGAGTTTAGATAGTAGTATACATGATATACACTAATTTCGCACCTTCGACAAATGTTTTGCCAAGGCACCAGTGAATATCACAACGCCTTCACGCACCAAATCATATCTCTCTTCATCTGATGCCTGAACATAATGCACCGAGCACGTAATTAATCGGGATCAGGTATAGTTCCATTTCCTTCTAGTAAAAACCACTAAATTATTACTTTGCGTGATATAATTTATAAGTAATACAAAAGCGTAAAAATATATTAGAGAAGCACAGCTACCCAGACAAAAGAGTAGGATGGTGAAAGAGAAAAGAATCCATAAACGATACCTTTTTGTTCAAATAATTTTCAAAAATTGGGAATAGCAGGGACACATTTTCATTTCCATGCTTGTCAATGATCAGTATACCAGCATTAATCATTCTTCCCCTAACATCCACATTAGGATCAGCCTGCAACTCAGTAGCGCCCATATACTTCAATGTTCAGAGCCATTACAAACAATTAAATTCTTGTATGAGAAACTATTTTTTGACCAATTCAATTTAACTATATTAAATAAGTATGAGCAATAAGTTATGAGAACTGAGAATTTTTCTAATAAGTATGACTAAAGGAAACAGATAGGAATTAATAAGATTTTGTCTGACCAACAAAATGCCACCAAATTGATATTGAATTCATACAGCATAAATTGCAAATTATAATAAAGCTGCAGCTCCCAATTTCAAATATCATAATAGCTCTTTCTGTTCAAGATAACCGATTCTAATATGCAATGCTAAAATAGAAGATTGAAATGAAAAACAGACATAACATGACTATTTTAGAATGCTTAAAATTGCACATCAATTAACTATTCAAATGTACCAGCTAAAACCAATCAACCAGGTTTCTGAATACGACTGAACTGCTAGATTAGTTGTCATATATATCATTAATCCATTAACTGAACCACATACTTAACTCAGTCAAGATTCCTCAAAATGAATGATTAAGGATACTTATAGTCATCCAGTAGGGCAAACTTAACCTCTAACTGAGCCATAATTTAATAGTCAAACAGATTTCTCAAAAATTTAACTAGAACATTAATAGCACAATTTGATTCTTTAACTGAACCATAAGCTTAATCACGTAAACCAGGCTTTGATGTGCCCATGTAAAAAACAATCACGCTTAGGTATAAGATTCAGTTGGGCAAATTAAATATTTAAATGAGCCATAAATTTAATAATGTCAACCATATTTCTCAAAGATTGAACAAGCACATTACGATTCATCCAGCAGAACAATTTGAATCTTTAACTGGACTATAAATTTTATCAGGTCAACCAGATTCAATGAATGTACCACTTAAAAATAATACTCCCTATATCCCTTTGTAACCATTATTCTCTCCTTTCTAGTCTATCCCTAGATTATCTCCACTATCCTTTTCAGTAAAAGATTCTGTTGTTCATATTGTTGAACTCTCTTCGAACAAAACTCAAAAAGAGTTTTCAGTTTTTCACCCTTCTCAAAACTGTGCAAAGTCAAATAGTGGATAAAAGAGGGATGGAGGGAGTAATGCACAAGCATAACAAACAAAATTTAAAGTATTTAATGATGATATATAGCATTTTACTAGGGAGCACATGCATCACAAAAGTACAGTGTGAATCAACCTTGTGTATAACAACAAAGTAAAAGGTTACCAGCGCCCTTGATATTAGGAATGTCATGACAACAGGAAGATCTTTGGTTCTAAGCACGTCGGAAACAGAGTGTAAAGCCAAGGCAATCCCTTGTCTGCCTATCCAGCCAGCATCAATAATGTCCTCATCAAGTCCAGCATCACGAATATACAATGAGAATAATGTTGATAGCGACTCCTATATTAATAAACCAAATTGTTGCATAAAACCACATATTTAGGTTGAAAATAAGAGCAGTTTTCACAATGCAATTAAGTTATTATTATTATTATACATCACCTGAATGGTATCAGGATTATCATCTAAAGCTGCAGCTAATGCTTCGGCAGCAGCAACTCTAACATTATAATTGAAGTTCGAAAGCGCTTTGAAGATTCCTGAATAATCAGTCCCTAATTCGTATCCATAGTGATCCCATATGTCTTCTGCAGCTTCAGCAACTGTCTGTGAAAACCTCAAGATTTTACAATAGGTAGATAAACTATACTCGTCCAAGTTTCATCTCTTAAAAAATTGGTATTTTTTAGAAAAAGGACAGCAAATATTGGAAAAATATAGAATGAAAACTGGAAATAGTGTAGCGTCCAGAGAACAAACAGAAGGTGGATATCATGGTAGTCAAAAGCGTGATCCTACTTGTAGGATCGGATGACTTAACCCATCAGCTCACTGATCCTGATCCAGTTCCTTAGAAGAATCGTGATATTGATAGAATCGGTAGGATTGTCAGTCACAGTCGTAGAATCATGATCTATTTCGAAAGAACAGCGGAAAAATAATTTGCCGAAGTCGGAAAAGTGGGAAATTTTAACCGGCACTATGATATAACTAATATTGATTTTTGGCTTCAAATTCAACGAAGACCATGCATACAAAAACAGTATTCTTCAAGCCTTCATCATCCTTAAAAACAAAGCCTCTGCCCTCTGGTTCTGAACTTCTGAACGTCTCCCTAGTCCAGAGTGCAGACTCTCCACAGTCCCATATGCTACTCTTTTTATCTGCACCTGAAACTCGAATTCATATGCTTCTAGCTTATATGTCTTCAACTCCCACCTCAGCTGTTATGGGGTGTTTATGAATAATATTTCACATATGACTAAAATATTTTATATATATATATATATATGTATGATATTATGGTCCATGTTACGATCTTGTGACTTATGATCTTCATTTCCCTACAGACCCTACCCGATCCTATATAGGATCTTGAGTTTGACTACCTTGTTGGATATCATGAAGACGGTCCATGTTACGATCTTGCAATTTACGATCTTTATTTCGCTACGGACCGTACCTGATCCTATATAGGATATTGAGTTTGACTACCTTGTTGGATATCATGAAGACGATGGCATCCACGCATTGATCACAATGAGCGTAACCTCCCCTTACTCAACTTAAAAGCTAGATCACCAACAATATCTTACCCTGCTTGGCCATTTTGATGGACAAATATAGAACAAACGTGATAAAAAACAAATATTTAGTCGTGAGTTCAGTGAGGACCTGATCTCTATGTTTTTTTCAAACACTTGATCTCTAAGTTATTACCATTAATTGAAAGTTCAGACCCTATATTGAGGTTGGTCCTAAAACAATAACATTCTATGCAAACTAATAACATTCTATGCAAACTATCAATCAGTACAATGTTTTGTAGAAACAAAAGAGGTAACAACCAGCTGATATATAATAGTCTAACGGACTGGAAAAATAACAACATGACAAAAAAAACTATATAAATGACCTTTTCTGGATCATGTAAAGCAAGCCATATGCTGGTTGCAACTTCAATATTTTGAGGAGTAGAGCGGCCCGCAATAGCAGGAATGCATTTTGCTGCATTCAAGCATGCCATCCTCACATGAGCATCTTTGGCATAAATACCAGAAAGGGCCTGCAAAGAAAATGCAGCATCACAGATAAGACATTCACATGTCAACTTGAAGAAGAAACTAATATTCAAAGTACATACAGGGGCAACTTCTGCTGCAGTCAATCCTAGACATAATTCATTAAGAGATGGACCAATGGAAGCTTGATATGCAGGAACAACACCAAGAACATGATATAGAACCTGTGATTGATTAAATGAGAAATTGAGATAATCCAACTAGAAAAGAATATTATGATCCCAAAGATTAACAAAAATGGCATATAGACCAGAGCCTAAGGTCGTAACTGATAGCATTTGAACCCTCGGAAGGGGTAAGGCAGGATCCAAATGTAAGAATATTATCTGGAGAACGTCTTCGTGCAGCCTTGTCTTCTTGGAAGCCAGTAGTATCCTCTCCATTATCTGCAAAGCAGGAGAAAAGTGAAACGAAACACATAAAAGAACTGACGGTCAAATGCATCAGGAAAGAACATTACAGCACAAGCAGAACCAGGTATGCTCAAAAACACATCAACTTACTGAGAAAACAAAAGTAAATGAATCCACAGGAAGTGGCCCAGATTTACAAGAGAATGATAAGCCATTTACTACTCGCTCAAAGAGACCGGGATTATCGTTAGCCTCCTCACTAGCCGATGGAAATAGTGCCCATAAGACGTTAGGTTCCTCTGTCCTAATTAGCCGCAAAGCAGTGGCAATTTCAAGAGCCCAGTTGGAGAGAGGGGGGGCAACACACTTTGACAGCTTTGTCAGCACAGTGTATGCCACATCACCAACTATTGGTGAACCTAGCAGGGGATCAATAAGTTTGACCTAAAGCCACAGTAGAATGAAAAGTAAGAGTAAGTTTATTGTCACAAGAAAACAGGAGTAATCAAGTATAATGAAGAATATTACTCATAAATATCCATTTTGTTATAATTCTTTTCAAAACCAAACTGGACACTTGGACATCATTTGGAGAAATTTGTTTAAGGAGTAGAAGCATAACAAAGTGATGAAATGAATGTCAGCCTTGTCTAGATGTGAATTGACAAGTTGAGTGACATAATACTAACCAAAGAAGGTAACTGACTATGTGTAAAAACCATATTGGCTATGGCAATTTCCCCCAGAGCTTTCAGCATTGACGAGAGATTATTTTGCACAACCATGACTCTTTCACGTATGCATGCTTCCTCCCTAAGTTGCATCTCACGAGCCTCTTCTTTAGCAGTCTTTCCTCTGTCCTTTTCTAAAAGTGGGAATAAAAATACAATTTGCACGTCAAAACAAATGCTAAAAGCCTAAAAGTTAATATTCAAAGACTAGTACTTTTATGAATTATAATAAGTGTCTTTCAATGCAGTAAATGAAGATAGCAAAATGGCCTACCAGATTTCTTAGTTGGCTTCCCACCATCTTTTTTCCCGACAACAGGCATATCTTTGCTAGAAGTCTCAAATTTTGGCACACGGATGGAATTTTCTTTTTCCTGTTGCAAGGGAAACGGTGATTAGGAAAGCAGAAGTTAAAGATCACACGCACATATGTCAAAGAAAGACATGACAAATGGAATCACCATGTCATCATTGCTATCATAGGCACGAAAGCGGCCTTTTGGTTGCTTTGTGTTCTTAGCTGAAACGGATTCAGCTATGTAAACACCAAGCTCTGTAGAGAGCATCCCTTCAGGAATACGGAAGATCTGGGGGAAAAAATAACAATAAGAAAACTCCTAAAATTACAGACTTACAAAGATTATAAATTAGATCATCTAAAGATAAATGAAAATCAATGGTGACATAACATCTATACTGCCACCATCCCTTAAAGAAGTTCCTAGTTTGACCTTTAAAGAGTTTAAGGAATTATGTTTTTTTTACTTACTGAAATGCCCTTTTTCTTAAATATTTTTAGAGAGTACACTGTATTGACAATGTGCAACACTGTACAGTTATCAATACTTAGGGTAGTATCGTAAATTGATAAGATTTTCTTTACTGAATAAGGAAAGAGACTTTATTTAGGGACATCCCGAAAAGGAATACAGGAACTTAATAGGGACTGAGGTAGTATTGGATTTTGAAGTTATGGTGCAAGTGTCTTTTTAGCCCGAGATGAGGCATCCCTTCTGGCCCTCTCACACATAAACAAGAGATTGATTAGTTTGGTGCCACAAACACACGAACAAACAAAACTACAGTAATTAAATCCGTGTAAATGAATGTAAATTAACAGTAAAGACAAAGAGTAGTCATGCAATATTCACGTCCAACTGAAAGGATTAACCTGAATATCATGTTCTGAAAACATATCATGTGCATGACGATCTGGAAGGTTGTTGAAGTTCTGCAGATTAAAAAAAAAGACAAGTTTCAACGCTAATAAATTTACATCATCACCAGCAACAACAAATGAGTTTTAGCCCCATCATCACTGGGATCAGCTACATGAACCAAGAGCTGATCACCCAATGGCATCCCACATCCATCAATATCTTCATGCACTCTTTTTTGTCATGCAGCATGTTCTCATGAAGCCTTGATGCCATAATTTTGTTTTTAACACTGATTCTGCTTCTTCAAGGAGCACTTAGAAGCAGATTCAGTTTAGCATATATTTAGAAGCACTTTTTGAGGAATAAAAATAATGTGAGGGAAACTAGGAGATACTAACTTCTGAAAAATGATTCTGATTCCAAGATAATCATTCCTTAAAAAAACTCCTTCCTTTCGCTCTCCAAGTTGTCCTAATTGTGATTCTACTTTTTAAAAAGAATTAGAAGCAGAACCAATCCCAGACAACCGCATAATATAATCTAATAAACTTAGAAGTTCATTAATTACTCCTGACAGTAAAACAAATTATATCGGAAAGTTAAAACAGAAAACCTTAACAAATTCGGCATAAGTTTCTCCAGGAATTATAGACATAAGAGTGAAAAATGAGTTTATTGCTGCTTCTGGCTCAAAATGATTTCCACTCATCAGACCTCTAGAGCCAAGCAAACCCTGCAAAATATCAAAAGATATTGGGCTTATTGTAGTCGGTAATGAGTGATGACCCAAAGAATTAGTCTACATGATATAAATTAAGTCACTTACCTGACATAAGCCGGCAACGTCAGTGGTAAAGAGATTAACAGTATCAAACCCTTGTTTCTGCAAACACTTCTGCACCCTCTGAGAATACACAGTAGATGAAGAGAAATATGAAGAAAACATGAGATATATTGCTACAGAGTATAGACCATGGGGGGATTAAATAAAAAGGGCAGCCAGAAACTGGGCAAACTCTGTGAAGTTTATTAGAGGTTGAATATATTTTTCAAACATGCAAGTCAAAGACACTCAGACAACGAAGGAAACTGCGAAGGTTTTCTGCAGTTTAACTTGATAAATAAAAGCATTCATACAAAAATGGTCACACATACATACATATGTGTGTATTCATTTATGTATAAATGCCTCCAGAGATAGACTGAAATGCTAAAGCGCTTACCCTCCATACTGCACTTCTTTTAGCTGAACCAATGAGACATGGATGATGTGAGCAAAGCAATATTTGCACGCATACGTGTGGCACAACAGATAAAGTTGCGGGTGATAAGGAAACTAAAGCTTTCACCAAAACTTCAACAGATGGAACGGTTGGAGCTTGGTTATCCAATGAGCTGTCTGCATCACTACAAGCATACGTAGTTAATAGCATTGATATATATATATATATATAACATGTAACAAATGCTATGATTGCCATGAAAAATTATTAAGAAAATGCACTCTTGTAAATGAATGAAATGACAACTGGCCAGAATATAAGGGTTACCAGTTACTGAAAGGGAAAACGGGAGGGGGCTAAAATGTTTCATACTCTTTAACAGAAAGGAAATTATCTAGCTAAAGCCTAAGAGATAATTGACCTCTGCCCAGGTTTATTAACACATCTGGTTTAAGGCCTGAAGTCTAGACAAATAACAGTTGCAAATCATTGACAGACAAAAAAATATGACAACCCTTTGGATGTGACTATGATAACATTTAGTGTATAAGAAGGTAGCTTCATTAGAACATTATATTGTGTCTGTGCAATTATAAAGAGGTAGCTTAATAGTCCACATAGAATATAAGAAGCCCAATGACAACATTGAAGAACATAAATATTAGGTTTGGTTACTGAAATATAGTTTCCTCAACTGTGTAACAAGCACAAACATGAAGCATTAGATCATTTTATATGGCCTTTCCTTCTATGTGACCTTTCATGTTTTATTTATATTTCCTGCCAAGATTTTCTCAAACTCACTGAAATGAGAATATAGCTCACTTTGTCTATTACATTTAGTCAAACTTGGATTTTTCAGCAGTTTCCTTTCATGAGTTTTAAGACGCAAATGGTGTGACTTAAAGGATTGAATTTAGAAACAACAAATAGTGTATCAGGATGGGCTATTATAGTGTTGAAACTCACCCTGTCTTCAAAAGAAGAATCTTTTCACCAACCGTTGAGAGATAATTGTAAAATCCAAGCATTATAGATTCAGATAACTGCGGGGTAGCAGCAATGACCTCTTTAACGGAACCATGAGCTGAACTCCGGACAGCCCAACTTGGATGACAAAGTACAAACAGTATGAACTGCACAGAATTGGTTAACAATTAGCTGAAAGCAACTATTGTAAGAAGAATGATGTTCAAGCATGTATCACTATTAACCTGTACAAATGTGCTAGCAGGAAAAGTCTCCAGAATCCTGCAGCTTACCGGAAAATACAAACATTCATTTACAATGTTCAATGACAATGTTTTTCCTTACAATAAAAAAACAAACCTCTGGGGATGTTCGACCAGAAGGGTCTCAAAAAGGTCGAGGCAAGCCATACAGTCCTCGGTTGATAATTTTGAGACCTGAATAGGTCAGTGAAATGTGTTTAAGATACTGAAGAAAGAGAACGATGAGCATCATACTAATTACACTATTTGGCATTTCTAACGATTATTAAATGAGCATAAAACATCCCATACAACTACAACAGTAAAAAAGTATTTGCTGAACATTTACCATTGAAATTGGCAGCAGCGAAGGTTCGTTCTGTGATATTAATGACCAAATATTTTCCTTTGATACAGTCTCATCTACAGAAAGGGAATAAGAAAAGGTAAAAATGTGCTTTTGAGTAACACTCGTGCATAGATTAAAGTCAGAAACCAAATGAAACCTGCTTTAACATCTATGGCAGCAATTTTTGCCACACAAAAAAGTGAATAAATCCCATCCAGTCGTTGTGCTACTTTGGTGAACCCTGTTTTAACAAGCTGGAGAAGAGGTGCCAGCAAAGATGAAATCTGAAACAAGTACATTGAAAATCATATGATTTAAAATATCATGGAAGAAGCAAAAAAAAGCATATAATGAGTCAGATAAAAAGATTTTTCTATCACACATACACGAGGAACAGCATCAACGTTTTTGCAAATCAATCGAACACAGCGAAGATGGCTTTTCCTCAATGTTTCCTTCTCTTTGAGCCCAGTTGTAATGAATGAAACAACATCTGGCTCAATGGCATCAGCACATCTAGACACCCAAGAAGCAAAACAAGCCAAAATCGCAAGCTTTACTTCTTCATTACCTGGGTGCGCAACATAGCAAAAGTGCAAACCATATATGAATAAACTGAAAATCAATGCATGTGTATGGGTGTGTCTCATGAAATGAGTGAACTTTATATGCAGATACTTAGTGGACACCTGAGGATATAATGCACACATGGCACACAGAAATAAAAGAATAAATCTAAACATACCATCATCCTTGTAACAGGACAACAGAAAGCTACAAATCGTCCTTGATAAGCTAGTAAAATATTTTCCTTCAGGGACATTCGACATCTCTTGCAGTGCATTAATCATACCAACTCTCTGGTAGGGAAACGTAAGCCTTCCTTCCGACCCTGCCAAAGTTTAAAACTAGTCAAGCCTTATTGAATTAATTGACTAAGCTAATAATTAAGAAATAACTTCGAAATAAATCATTACCAAACCTAAGTTACAAACTAACCTCCAATTACAGATTTGACTGCTTTGAACATTTCTTCTAGAGCATCTGGACTGCTTGACTTAGTGCTCAAGCATCGAATTATAGATAAGGCAGTTGTTTTTCTTTCTCCATCTGTATGCCTTGCCTGTGTTAACACAACTGAAAGAATCTGAACAGCATATTTGCTCAAGTCAAGCCTGGCAGATTGCATAAGGACAGTAACTGATTCCAAAACAAGCTCGGGGTTTCGTTTCAACATCTTGACAGACAGTGGGATGACAGTATTTTGAAAATCTTCATGAGACAGATGTGCAAATAATGGAATGAAGGCCTGACAGAGGTCCATTGGTGGCTTTTCTTTTGCATTTAGAACTGCTTCAGTGTACATATCAAGAAAGAGTTGCTGTATGATACAGGAAACAAACATTAGATTATTGAAGTGGTGAAAATGTGAAATCAATACTTTTTGAAGTTTTTGTAGCTAGGAGCACAAGGAACGTGTTCACCCATAAAATAAAAGGTTACAACCATAACAAACCCATTGCTAGCATCATTAATGATGTAACAGATCAATAGTAAGCATTTCTTACCTTCCATTTATCATATAGAGAAGGGTGGAGTCTTGAAAATTCGAGCATCAACAATAGAATTTCAGGACAATCTTTATATGGGATCCTTGAATTCTCAAGTTCTTCCATATAACTTTCATAGAGGTGTGGTGACTGCAAGCGAATAAAAAAGTAAGCTAAAATCTATGTATAGCACACTTCAAACAATAATAAACCAAGTAGCCAACTGCTTTAGGAAAATATACCTTTGAAAACAAAAAGAAAATGCTTTGTTTGCATGCTCTTCTAACACGAGGTGATCCTTTCATACCAATATGAAGTACTGATGCCTGCACTTGAGCTACTCTAGAAAATGCATTTTTTGATGCTAAGCTAAACTCGCTTTCCGTCAGGAGTAAACAGGACCACTTCAAAAGCCTGTGACAGACTACATGTGACTGAAACTTCGCATTCTTTTCCATAACCTGTACAAGGGTTGCTGCAAAACTCTTCATAAATGCTACTTGTCTCAAACATTTTATGACCACATCATCCACTGCTTTCATCGATCCTCGGTCGTCATAAATAAATAAAGTCTTGAAAACTAAATCTATCAACACAGATGCGATCTCGGTCGTCATTTCTGCATCTTAAAAAAACACATCAGCGTTTGAAGTATAAAATGTAAACAATATAAAGGAAAAGAATGGGATCTTGGTTTTCATTTGTATAATAAACACATTAGTATCAAAACTTTTTTCAAATATCTAAGCAAGTATAATTAAGTGAGCAAGTGGTTACTAGCCTGCGTAGTATAGAATTGTACATCTCTAGTTTTCAGGAAATATAATATGAATATATATTTAAAAGAGAAATACATTGGTATTTGATGAAGCCCACCATCCATGAGCTCCTATATTTGTTTGCCTTGCATTTCATTCAATATCACTTCCTTAATTGTATTTAATTATTTATGACATAAATGTTCTTAAAACTGAGTTAACAGCACTTCTACTCCTGCGGGTAGGGGTAAGGTTGGGGTAAGGTTCGTGTTCTGGAGCTTACTTCCCAGTGGGGCGTACTGGGTGTGTTTGGTTCATTCTATATGTTCATAAAAATGACTGGAGTAAAGCATTTGATCGAAACAATTGTGCAACAGCTTTTTAAGCTTTCTTTTCTGAGCAGAGATTTACTCCATTGTCATAATAAATTCATAAGCTTTCATATCATAATAAATGGTGCGGACAAAAGCATAAAGATTTTGCATTACTGACAGTATATAGATTAAAGTAGTCGAGGTGAATAGATAAACTGAAAAGAAGCAACTTAAATTTCAGTCAACACTGAATATACTGTGGTTTGTAGTGTAACTGTTACATAGAACTCGCAGAATATAGTGTGCCTATGAAATGATTACCTGAACGACTGAGAATAGACGGAATCTCATCTCGGAAGATCTTAACTTGACGTTTGGTGGATGGCGTTGTCACTGATGAATCAATGGACGCCAGTGACTCCACTGGATTTGCCATGGGCAAGAATGCGTTAGTGAGCTAATTCGGGGGTGACAGACGCGCTGAAATGTAAACCTTCTGCTAAGTCAGGTATAACAAAAGATGGCGCCCGCCGGCGGAATGAGAAAGTCGGACGTAGTATGGGTGAGGTGTAGCTTTTTTTTTTACTGGTAGGGTTTTAGTCTTTGATGAATTTCTGCAGGCTCACTCTAATTTCTATTTACCTCCGCGCGCCGCAAATAATACTAGGCACAGTGGCGTGGCCATATTTTCTCAGCCTGTACAACTTTGTGAGTGCTGTGTATTATTTGGTGGTGCCACTTTCAATTATGGGAAAAATTCCTTAATATTAGCTTGGCCCAAAGAAATTCCAAAAAAGTGATTGAATTATAATTTGGGCTTAAAAGTGACCAACACGGGTGACACATTTGGAAAATATAACCTAACTCACTAAATGAGGTGTCATCCGAACAAAATTAGGAAAGCAACGGTAATTTGGAATAGCGATTAACGAAATCACCTTCTCTCTTCGCTTGGAGTTTCAGAGTTCTTCGAACGTGACATTGAGATGAAGGTTTTCGAAGCTGAGATGAAGGTTTAGAGAGAAGACGTCGCCATAGGTGAGCGCGATTAAGAATTCTATCGAAATTATTCAATCTCAACTCCTTCTTTATGTGTGAATTACATGATTAGATAGAACTAGGGATGAATTGGATTTATGTAAGTGTGGTTATCCTATTTGTATATGTGTTGTATGTAAAAACGACGAGTTATATCGATCGTGGTTTTAAATCTCCATTGGCCTCAAATGCATATTATAACTGATTTCTATCTTTTACAGTTACAGAGCTTGAATATGTTTGTAAACATGTGTCAGTCTAACTTGTTTATGAGTAACTGCACATTTGATCTCATTACTATTATATCACTTCCACATTTAGTCCCTTACTTTCAGATTGTCCACATTTAGTTCGTGACCATTATCCTCTCACCACTCATCGTCTTTCTGGCCAAAATTCCGGCAAATTTAGTCCACTTATCAGCCTCAGAATCAGTCTTTGCATTAAATTTTATATAAGGTTGTGGTTTTCATATTAGTCTTTGCATTAAATTTGCATTATATTTGCCAGAAATTTGGCCGGAAGGACGAGAGGTGGTGAGGGGATAATGGTCACGGACTAAATGTGGATAATCTGAAAGTAAGGACTAAATGTGGAAGTGGTATAATAGTCACAGGATCAAAAGTGGAATTTTTTCTATGTTTTTTATGAGTGTAAGTATATCTGATTTCTATGTTTCACTATGTGTAAGTGCACATTTGTATGAATCTAAACCAATGTCACTAGATCTTGTTTATGTCTACACACTGTTTATATCACTGCAATTCAAAAGCAATGTAATTCTTTTAATATTAAAAGACTATAGTAATGCTTGTCACTGTTGTTTTAATTTGTAGTATCCTGAAATTTGATAGTGAAACTATATTTGTATTATGTATTTCATGTTGAAAGAAAATATTTAGTGATTGTCATTCCAAGTTCTAAAAAGTTGTAACTGTGATGTGTTAAGCAAGCATATCTTTGAATGAATACATGAAAGCTATTGTGCCTATACATAATAAACAAAATATTGACATTGATATAACTTTTTTATCTTCTACTTGAGAAATATTATTGTAAACTGTTAAGGGATATGTCACTAACAGTTTATATTTCACATTGAGTTTTAGAGAATCAGTTAAAATAGTAATCTGAAACTAATTACTATGTATTTTATTTAAATTCAGGTTCAGCAACAAATAGTTAGTTCTTTTTTAAATAGGGACATGGAGCAAATTTTGATTACAGTGATGTTTGATGGAAGGTGGAACGTGCAGAAAAAGATTGTTTCAAAATCAACACATGGACTTGTACTTAACTCCAAGGCTTCATATTTTGAATTGATTGAGGAGTTACGGGACATGTTAGGGATTCATCTTGATGTGGATATTACCTGCATTTCATACCAAATCGATCCGGTTTTGAACCTACAGTAGTTGATAGTGACAATAGCCTTAAGTTTTATTTGCATCTAAAAGGTATGGAGTTGAATCAAATAGGAAAATATCCATTATGCGTACAAATAATGAAGGTAAGTGAAATGGAGATTGTAAGTGACACAAACCTCAGAACAATGGAATCTGAAGTTACACACAATGTCGTACCGGTGGGGCATTATAGCAATGAAGATGTTGCTACAGTGACAAGTAAAATTTCTGGACAGAAAGATGGCTATACAGTTCCATTCGATTGCATATCAACTGCGCACACACATTTGTTAACATGGCTAGGAGGTGTACGCAATGGACATGTTGTAGGTATGAACACAACATTAAGGTTACATGGAATATATCCTAGCAAAGATAGTTTAAAGGAGACCTTGCAACTTTATGCATTGCACAACAAATTTCAATTCACAACTAGAACATCACATCCAAATTACATTCATGTTGTTTGCTTTGATGAGGACTGCAAGTGGGCAGTATGTGCTGTGAGAGTGAACAACACGTGTTGTTTTGAAGTGAAAAGGTAAATTGCTTTTCCAGTTGATTAAACATTCAATAGAGTGATTTCAGTGACAATAAAGATAATATATATGTATTTGATAATTTTCTGTCAATGTTTCCTTTTCCAGCTCTTGTAATTACTAGATGATAATTATATGATAAAATGATTGTGGGAGTTGTTTGAGTATGAAGAATATTATAAAAGGACATATAACATTCCAGTTACAATATGTTGTATTATGTGTTATTAGTGATATTGTTTGGTTGATTATAAATATATTTTTCTTTTGATTATGTTACAGGTTTGATAATATACATAGATGCTCCATTGACAGTAGAATGAGTGGAAATAGACAAGCAAGTGCATTGATTATTGGGAAGCTAATTAAACATCAACACTTAGATGCCTCATGAAAGCCCTACCCACCAAAAGCAATAATGGCATATCTACACAGAGAATTTGGGGTGGATTTGGATTACAAAAAGGCATGGAGAGGTGAGGAAAAAACTTTGGAATCAATTTGTGGAATAGATGTAGAGTCGTACATGAAATTGCCAAGCTTGTGTTATATGATAGATCAAAAAAAATCATGGATCTATCATATCTCTAGATACAGATTCAAAAAATAATTTTAAGGCATTGTTTGTGTCACTGGGAGCATTTAAAGAAGGATGGTCTGCTTGTAGACCTATAATTAGTGTGGACAGGTCTTTCTTGAAAGCAAAATTTAGGGGAACAATTCTAACGACATGTGGTATGGACGCAAATAGACAAATATTTCCGCCAGCGTTTGGAATATGTGGTAGAGAGAACAAAGAGTCATGGACATGGTTTTTAACAAAACTGAAAGAGGCAATCGGAGAAAGACCTGAAATGTGCTTCATTTCAGACAGAAATGAGGGGCTTCTTAGGGCTGTGAAAGACATTTATCCAGGTGCAGACCATGGGTATTGTGTGCAACGCATACTTGGGAATATAATATCCAAGTTAGGGGGGAAAAGAAGAATGTTACTACTTTTTTCAATATTGCAGTAAGGGCTCCAACATCACGATTGTGTGAATATTATATGAAGCTACTTGATGCATAAGACCCGAGGTTTCGAAAATATCTTACTGACATTGATGCCAAAAAATGGGCTAGGAGTGCAATGACAAGAAGAAGGTACTCTATAATGACTTCTAATAATGCAGATTCACTCAACGCGGCTGATGTCACTGCTGGGGAATACCCGATAACAATGGTCATTGAATTTCTTAGAGTAAAATTCCAAAAGTGGTTTCATGATAGAAGAAAAGAAGCATATGAAAACAACACGATCTTGTCTCCAGTAGCAGAAGAAGTGCTTGTGAACTTACTTCATGACACAGCTGGGATGATAGTAAGTTATTTGTTTTTTTGTATAAAGAATAATGTATCAAAACTGGAAAAAATCACAGTAATATGTATTGAGTTATAAAGTAGTGGCCAAAGTCTCTTAAAACTGTTTATTAGTAACTAACACTGTATAAATTCATTTGGTTTCCTTACTTATAGGTCAGACCAAACACAAACTTCAAATTTGAAGTTATCGACAGATCAAGTAGAGCATATGTCGTAGACCTCGAGACAAAGAGATGTTCTTGTAGGGAGTTTGAATTGGAGGATTTCGTTTGTGTTCACGCAGTTGCATCAATAAGAGCAAGGAATGGGTTGTCATGATGTGACTTCATTTCTATATATTACAGAAGCAGTTCATGGCTGGAAGCATACACTGGAGTAGTAGAACCATTAGAATCATACTGTGAAGCTGATATCCCAAGCAAATACAGAGATATGATCATTCACCCACCGGTATCAGATAAGCGGGCAGCTGGAAGACCAAAGAATAAAAGAATTCCTTCGACCGGTGAATTTGTGAAGAAACAAAAATGTGGAAGATGCAAACAACATGGACACAACCAAAAGACTTGCAACAACCCTATACCACGTCACAAATGAGCTTTAAAATAAAGAATTTCATCTGTCTTTTTGAACTTCAAGTTCTACTAGTTTTTGTTAAAGAATAAGTTGAGGGGGACATCAATTACATATGCTCCCTTTCATATCACAGTCTGCAAATGTATAAACTTTACGAACTTGGGGCTAATAGAAAAATGTGTCATAATGTGTCACGTTGGTGGCTACAGATTTTTGTTTTATTATAGTGCTTGGTCAAGATTTTCTGGGTATTATCACTTTTGCTTTAAGTATAATGAAAAGTGCAAAAATTATTCATCTAATAGAAATGATTAATTCTAAAAAAAGTTACTCACTATGAAATTATCTTCAGGGAAGAACTAAAGTTACAACGATTTAGTTACATAGTTTTTCACATGTAACTAGTAGTATATTAACATCTGTCACTACGAAATACTATCAATGTAGTACGTGTCATTACAATTGGATCACTGGAGTACATGCCACTAGTACTACGAACACTGTGTCATTATCATTTGTGTCACTGTAATATGTGTCACTGATGTTATCATGTAATTCCTGAAAAATTGAATTGCTTTGTTTTACGTTTGAAGTACTAAAACACTTCATATTATAATTTAGTTTTACTATTGGATTTGAAAGGAATGAATATTCACATTCTTGGCATAGGCATCAATTATGTAAAAGTACAATGTAAAAGTACAAGGTATCAGAATAAAAAGAACAATGCAAAAGTAGTTATGAATATTAAGTTCAGTTTTGAATTCAAAAGTAGTCATCAATTACATGGAAACCAAACGTTAAC